TGTGAAATGAGTACAATTGTATGATAGTTTGAACATTCCTTGGCATTGCCCTTCTTTGAGATTGGGATGTAAACTGACCTTTTCCAGTCCTGCGGCCACTGTTGTTTTTTCCAAATTTGCTGGCATGTTGAGTGCAGCACTTTAACAGAATAATCTTTAAAAACTTGATAGGCCATATAGGGCTTTAAAGGTAAGAACTAGCTCAGCTGGGATACCATCACCTCCGCTAGCTTTATTGTTAGTAATGCTTTCTAAGGCCCATTTGACTTTGCACTTCGGGATGTCTGGCTTGAGGTCAGTGATCACACCGTTGTGGTTGTCAAGGACAGATTCTTCTTGTATAGTTCTTCTGTGTATTCTTGCCACCTTTTCCTAATTGCTTTTGTTAGGTTTCTACTGTTTTTGTCCTTTATCGTGGCCAGCTTTGCATGGAATGTCCCCTTGATTTCTCCAATTTTCTTGAAGAGATCTCTAGTCCTGCATGTACACACTATCTCTAGGCTGCATGTATGCACTATCAAATTACGATCTGTAACTTTTTGTGGGATTTTCTTAAACACCTCCATTCCTAACTTCAATCTTAAATATCAGTCTTATGCTGTATGTAGTATTTTGGTTATTAATTACAAATAGTGATAGAGGCTTATAAACTGTGGTATTTATAAGAAGACAAATTTATCTAAATCATTTGGCAAATAAAAAGCAAATATTTTTGTTGTTGACTGTCAGTGCATTCTGTCTGATTAGAAAAGTATAGTTGAAGGGATACTAAAACCTATTAGTGACAATTGAGTTGGAATTCCTTGAGTCTAGAAGGCTGTCTGGAATATTATGTAGATAAACACTCAAGTTTGTGATCAAGTGTGTGTGTGCATCTCTGAGCCGATCCCTGACAAATGTGTGTGTGTGATGCACAAGATTGCAAACACATGTTGGTCTCACAGTTTCAATTTTAGGTGTACCATCTACAAAACCTAATGTGTGAAAGATATTTTTACTTCCCTCATTACAGTGATAATTCACAGCTAATGTATGCATAATTTATTAAGTAACATCTGGTTTTACATATTAATGAATTAACCTAGAGATCCCTGTGCTGGGCTTACTTGTGCCATGGAAATTAATTGAATATCCTTCCATTTTTCAGATACATGGAAATAATTCATCAACCTACAAAATTTATAGTTTTTCATATGCCACAGGATGGCATTACTGGTGGCCTGGCATGCTTCTTAGCTAGAAGGAAATGTAATACATATTATGTAAATTTCCACAGAATGAAAGTTAACTTGTTACCCTGTGTGATTGGAATACTTGTGTCTTAGACTGAATATGTGAATGGATCCCCCCCCCCCGGTGTCCCAACTTTTCACGAGGGTATCCTGACCATAAGGAAGAAAATCTTCCTTCTGCCACCCATTTCGTATCAAAGAGTGGCTGGCTTAAATTTTACACTTGTTTTAAAGGAATCCAGCAAATCTTGGTAAAGACCAGCACAAAAAGATTTCAAGGGGGCTGTTTGACAAAGCAACAAGGTTCATGCAAATTTATTTTGCCAGTTTGGTGTAGTGGTTAAGTGTGCGGACTCTAATCTGGGAGAACCGGGTTTGATTCCCCACTCCTCCACTTGCACCTGCTGATGTGACCTTGGGTCAGTCACAAGCTCTGGCACAGCTGTCCTTGAAAAAGAGCAGTTTGTGTCAGAGTTCTCTCAGCCCCACCCACCTCACAGGGTGGCTGTTGTGGGGAGGGGAAGGGAAAGGAGGTTGTAAGCTGCTCTGAGACACCTTTGGGTAGTGAAGGGCGGGGTATAAATCCAATCTCTTCTTCTTCCTCTTCTTTATTTTTCTATTTATTCATTCAAATTTATAGCCCGCCCTCCTCGCAAGTGGGCTCTGGGCGGCTCACAAATACGGCAACATATGTCAACAGTTACAACAATAAAAACAAGATAAAACCAACATTTACAACAACATAAAGTGATTTAGATGTTACAAAAAATCTTCAATCACAAGATGGTATCCTGAAGATGGTAGTCCCAGTTCCGTGGCCTCTCAATTCAGTGGTATGGGTTCCATGCGGTATTATAAATAACTTGTCACAGGGCCATCATATGCCCCGATGTTACCTAACCCAGTTGGTGGTGGTGCGGTAGTGGCAGCTCCTACTCAAAAGCCTGGCGGAAGAGCTCCATTTTACAGGCCCTGCAGAACTGCACAAGGTCCCGCAGGGCCTGGATCTCCTCCAGGAGCTCATTCTACCAGGTAGGAGCCACCACCGAAAAAGCCCTGGCCCTGGTTACAGCAAACCTGGCATCTTTGGGGCCTGGCATCACCAGAAGATGTTGCGTCCCCAACCATAGTGCCCTTGGAGGAACATATGGGGAAAGGCGGTCCCTTAGGTATGTCGGACCCTGGCCATATAGGGCTTTAAAGGTAAGAACCAGCACTTTGAAGCAAATCCAGTATGCTATTGGCAGCCAGTGCAGCGCTTTTAACACAGGCCGGATGTGCTTCTGCCTAGCGAGGCCCATCAGCAGCCTGGCTGCAGCATTCTGCACTAGCTGCAGCTTCCGGATTTGCGACAAAGGCAGCCCCATGTAGAGAGCATTACAGTAGTCTAACCTTGTGGTGACCATCGCGTGAATCACTGTGGCCAGGTCATAGTGGTCAAGGAAGGGGACTAACTGCCGAGCCAGCCGAAGATGGTAGAAGGCCGACTTGGCAGTGGCTGCCACCTGGGCCTCCATAGTTAAGGAGGAGTCCAGGAGCACTCCCAAACTCCTAATCTCCGGCACTGGCACCAAAGGTGCCCCATCAAAGGTTGGGAGAGGGAGCCCCAGTCCCGAACCGACTCAGGCCCAGGACCTCCGTCTTCGCCGGATTTAGTTTCAGCTGACTCAGTCTGAGCCAACCAGCCATGGCTTGCCACGCCCAGTGAAGATCTTCTGGGCTAGAGCTAGACTGGCCACCCAGCATCAGATAGAGCTGGGTGTCATCTGCATATTGATGACACCCAAGCCCATATCTCTGGGCAATCTGGACAAGGGGGCGCATTTGGAAAGATCATGGACACCTGGAACTTTGGTGAAATTGCAGGTTAGCTTTCAGAAGAATTATTGAGTCAAGCAGTCACAATAAGCCAAACGTACAATAATATTAAAACTAGAATGCCTGTATTAAGAGGCAGGTGTTCCAAATGCCCACGCAAACACTCTGCAACACGTACCACTCAAGAAGGAGAAAGCAAGTGGCCTAAGATGTAGAGAATGAGAAAAAGGAGCTTGTAGCTATTTATTTGGGCAGATTCTGAACAGAGATCCAGATCCTCAGTCGGGTCCCAGAAATCAGAGCAGCCAGTAGTCGTAAAGAGGGAAGGCAAGACCCATATGATGTCATGGCAGATACATTGCTGCACAAAAATCAGAATTTTGTAGCAAATCAGAAGCACACTTTGTGGACGTATGCTGCCTCCAGTTATAGGGGTTGGGGAACTGAAAGCAAAAGGGTAAGCTAAGTAGTATAAGTCCAGTGAATGGCAGAAGGTGAAAAGGGGGGGGGGGAGTTCCCAGGTCTTGGGAACACTTCTGAATTAAGGGAAGGAGGTGAAATCTTGGGGCAGGGCAGAAGTTGTTGGAGCCCATCCTCATCTTACTTTTTAATTTACTTCATTTCTACCTTGGGACCCAGAGCACCTTACATTGTTTCCCTTTCCTCCAGCTTATTCTCAAAACAACGCTACAAAGTACGTTAGGCTGAAAATATGTGACTAGCCCAAGGTCACCCAGTGAGTTTTTATGGCAGACTGGGGATTTGAACCTGGGTCTCACAGAGTCTAATCCAACACTATACTGGCTATCATTGAGCTGAGGCTGTTGGAAGTGATTCAGGATCAGTTTGATTCAGGATCCGTTTGGATGGGAAACCTTTTAGCTGAGGATGCTGATATGAAGGTTGGTCTCTTTGTTGGCAGGATTGTTAATGGAGCAGTATCCTTTGTGCATAAGTGTTTATTAATTATTGTAAGGTTCTGGTTAATGGTCTGGTGGCCAGGTGGGAGGGAGAGGTTAATTTCTTTTTGAGCCTTTGTTTTCCAGTGAGTCTGACTTTAAGTTGAATGTCTGCCTGATTCACCAATTGGCCTTCAACCTTTGGTTTGAAGATGGCTCAAAACAGGTTTTCAGGCCTCATGTAACTGGCAGAGAAGAACTGGTATTGGCATTTATGTGGAGGAGGAAGAGAGTCTGTCAAAATGAAGGATTTGATGGCAGCAACCTGGCTATTGTTTCATGTGCCTTGGTGACTTTCATATTGGATTATAGTAGTGAACTCTGTGTGGTGCTGCCTTTGAAAACTTTTTGAAAATTACAGCTGGGTCAAAATTCAGGAGCCAGAGCGATAACAGCAGCTTGTCACCTTGGATATGTCAAATGAATTATATTGGCTACCGCAGTCTTATTTTCAGGCCCGTCTGTTTCTAGGCCCATCTAAAATTCCTGATTTTAATCTTTAAAACTCCTAACAGCTTTGGTCCAAAGTACCTAAAGGGCCTTCTCTCATAAGTACCTGCTAATAATTTTAATATTGGCTGACGGGTCTCTGCTGCAGGAACCTGAACTGTCACATGTATGTTTAGTGGGGACCTATGCAAAGCATCTTTTCAGTAGTAAATTCATCCCTAGAATTTTTAACTAAAATTGTTTTATTTAATTGTAGGTATGGTGGTTATATCATTGTAAATATGGGTTATCCTTAACATTATACGAGTGTTGAGCATGTGTGGCCTGGAAATACACCATATAATTGTGTAAGTTATCTATATCAGGTTCTGCCAGTTTTCTCTTGAGTTGATAAAATTATGCTTGTATTTAGTTTTACTATAGTGTTAACTTTTCTCAGTCTGTTATTTTGTTTTGTTTTTAACTGTGCTGTTTAGTTTTTACACACATGCAAGTCTTGTGCGGTCCTGTGCTAATGGAATCTCTCTCTGTATTGTTGCAGTGCTTGGGAGATGGGAAGTAATGATAGCTGGCACCTGAACTAAAATCTGTTTGTAGGCACTACCATCCCAGCACTTCAGGATGAATGGGGATATGCCTCATGTTCCCATCACTACTCTTGCAGGGATTGCTAGTCTCACAGACCGTAAGTACCCTTCTTGTTTTCTCTCAGTTTGATAGTATTATATTTTGAATATATAGTATTACTCAAGGCTTTAAAAATGTCTCCCATCTTAAAGAGGATGGAAAACCTTACCTATACCTCCAACTTCCAAGAAAAGTGACTCTGTTTTTTATTACATTCTGATTTAAATGTTGATCAAAGCAGAAGCAAAAGCCAAAGTAAAATTTTATATATATAACAAGAATAATGGAAGTAACATCATGGTTTTCTCTCTATGTAGCTAAACTGTACTATGAATGCTTTTGTCATAACAATACTTAGTGGTTTCTATCTATACATAGATTTGAATGGATTTCAGTTGTGTTGTAGTTGTTGTTAGCCATTCAGTTGTGTGACTCTTGGCGATTCTGTGGATCAGCTCTCTCTACATAGAAGTTATGTCATTTGACTTCCTGAATGTTACAGATCTGGCATATTTGTTAAATATAACCCGTGATGATTAACATGTTGAAATAAAAAATTTAAACTTAAATCCTCCCGTTATTTTTATATGCCCTCTGTTAGAAGGCATGCATTAGAAGGATTTGTGTCCTGTTCTTGGATCTAATGGAAAAGTTGCTGAGAAAAGAAAACTTTATGCCTGAATTGTATAGAAAGCCAATGATAGCTATATTGAACACTTTAATGTGTGGTGCAATATGTTTTAGATTCTGCAACATCTTAAAAAATCTTAAGTACAGGTTTTTGGATGTAAAACAGGATCATATTTTTAGTTGATCTTTAGGAAAAGTCGCAGGGGGCTCCTTTCTGAGTGTGTGCATCCACTTCATAGCCCTCCTCCAAGATTCTCATGTCACTATATCTGGGCTCATCAGGGGATGTTTCAGATCAGAGAGCATTTTGTTTGGTGGAGCACTGTCACTTTTGCATCCCTGTTACCAAAACAAACATTTCACCATATTCAGGGCAAGCGTGCACTGAGGGTTGAGGAAAGTGTAAAGCATTCTCTAAAGCAGGTGGGACATTGACGAAGAGGGTTGGCAGGCATCCACTCTTTTTTTTGTATTTTTCATATATCTATGTGTGTGTGTGTACGCACGCACATGTGAGTGTGTGCACCTGGAAGTCATGGTGACCTCTGGTGACTGATCCCTACTGGGGGCCTGGAAGATATTCAGAGGGGTGGCTGAATAAAGCCTGCCTGCACCTCCTAACTGCTGGTAGTCCAAGTCTCATCCAAGTACTTGCCAGAGTCAACCCTGCTTATCTTCCGAGATCTGATGAGATTGTGCTTGCCTGGGCTGTCTAGGTCAGGGCAGGCAGGCATCTACTCTTTAAGGACTAGGGATGTACTTTGCTTGGGGAAAATAAGGTAGGAAAAGAAACATTTTAATAAGCACGTGCATAGGAGTTGGTGGGGGGAAAGTGTTGCTAGCCATTAATGATGTCGTGGGGACATTTTCCTGGATGATCACTCCACTGCAACTCATGCAACATCAAGACAGGAATAGAAGTGCTTGTGGGGGGTGCAGTGTGAGAATTTTACTGTGGAATAACTAGAATTTTTTTTACCCTTTTAAAAAACAGTTTTGAACCAGCTGCCTCTTCCATCACCTTTACCTGCTACAACAACGAAAAGCCTGCTTTTTAATGGACGAATTGCAGAAGAGGTGAACTGTCTTTTGGCCTGTAGGGATGAAAATTTGGTTTCACAACTTGTACACAGCCTCAACCAGGTGTCAACAGATCACATGTATGTACTTTTTGATACTTGGTATATGAATGCCAAAATAGTTGGTGGGGTGTCTAAAATTCTGTATGTTATAGGGTTGAATGTATATGGTTCTGTATCTTCCAGCAGTTGGTAATTGTTAGCTAATGCTGAATATTTTTGGCTTGAGACCAACAGTAACTTTTATTTTGAGCTTTGTGTCCAGAATCTGTTTCCAAAGAAGCAATATAAGTTTTGATGGGACCTGAAAATGTTTAGTTTGAAATTGTAATAGATGGTAGGATCTGTCAAGGGGACAGATCCTACCATCTTTTACAAAACCGTACCAGAATCTTGTTGTTTGCTAATTTGCAGGTTATGTAGACACAATTTGGTGGATGGCAAGAATCCATCAAGAACAAGCGAATTGTGTGTTTTATTTACTTAGCTGAAAGGAAGGTGAGAAAAATATAGTACACTAAGCCAGTGGTCTTCACAAATCTGGCATCATACTACTGTTAGTGAACAGTCACCTGTGTTATCCAGCTTTGGTATCTTGATCTGCTTGTGGTATGTAAAAGGTATCCTCATTCATAGGATTATCTTCTGAACACACTTTTAAAAAGTTTGATCTGAGTGGAGATTTATACCCTTTGCCAGCTGGGTTCTGGTAGTGTATTCCTGGGGAGGAAGCTAGATCTGATTATAGCGGCCTGATGAGAAGTCCTGGTAGGGTTTTGTCCATAGATCCTTGATTAAATACATAATCAGATCTGTGACTAGATAAGAAGAGTTCTGATAGTAATAATTTGATTTAGTTGGCATGCATGTATGGTCCAGGAAACTGGAGCATGAAAGGTGCCTTCTCATCCAGACACAGTTTTCAGAGATGAGTACCAGAAGAGCAATACTAGACGTGGATTCTAGTTGCAGGATAAATTGGACAGGTGTAGGCCAGAGGAAGCAAGCAAATAGGTAGGATTCAAATGGGTTCTGTGCATTATTTGCAGGGTAGGACATAGTGGATCACCAAGCTTGGGCTGCACAACATGCCTTAGCATACATGCACCAAGAAACGGCAGTGGATTACTGCGACGTTTGAAATGCCTGCTATGATCTCCCAGACTGCTGCTTCTCTGTGATAAGTTCTCTGTCAACACTTGAATTTGACTGTGGATCGAGGAAAAAGGGTGTTGATGCTTGTGAATAGCAGCTGAGAAATTAAGGCGAACAAAGTAGCCCGGTCTCTAATAGGAGTGGAGATCAAGGCATGATCTGATGGGTTGTGACATTTTGACTTCTCAGTGTTTATGAACAGTTTTTACAGGCCTGCAATGGTCATTAGAACGACATTGGTGGAAATTAATATAAAACTGGTATTTATGGTTTGGTAATTCTTATACTGTTGGGTTTATTGTTTTTGTATTGTTTTTACTCTCTGTGCTATATCAAGCAGATCTCTGGTGAGGCAGCATATAAGTAAATAAACTGGGAATGGGCTGTGGATCAGTGGTAGAATATCTGCTTGGCATGCAGAAGGTCCCAGGTTCAATCCCTGGCATCTATGGTTAAAAGTACCAGGCAGTCGGCAATGAGGAAGACCTCTACTGCAGACCTTGGAGAGCTGCTGCCAGTCTGAGCAGACAGTACTGAGCTTGACGGACCAATGGTCTGATTCAGTATAAGGCAGCTTTATGTGTTCAACTCTACATTCCTTTTATGGTGATGACATTTCACAATTCGAGCAATTGCATTAACTTTCCCATCTCTCATAGTAGCCATATTATCGGTAGTGTGTTCTTAATAGGCACAATAGATTCTTGAAATAATGCAGGGATGGGGTAAAAATGCTACTTTTGTATGTTGTTTGAACAAACAAATATTAATATCAACAAGACCTCTGTGAAGAGTTTGAGAATTGCTCTTTATAGAGGAAAGATTTCAAACTCTTTATGTTACAGAAGTGCCTCTGTTTGCTGGTGGTCATTTATTACAAATGTTTCTGTTTTGGTAAGAAGCTATATTTTAAAAGCCTTATATGCTTGTCTTTTTGATATCAGAGAACTGAAAGATAACCTTGGCAGCGATGATCCGGAAGGAGATATACCAGTCTTGCTGCAGGCTGTCTTGGCAAGGAATCCTAATGTTTTCAGGGAGAAAAGCATGCAAAATAGATATGGGGTACAAAGTGGTGAGAGTTCTTTTTATTAATTTCACTATAATTTGTATTAGGAACTAGGTTGCGTTCTGTTGTTTGTAACAGTGTAAATGGGACAAACTGATATAAATTCATATATTTGCTTTGCTTTATTACATGATAGAGGCAATGGGCATTCTGGACCCTCTGTTGTAGGGCATGAAAAAAATTCAGATGAAACTATACAAATGATTTCTCCCTCTCAAATGAGCAAGTACATCAGTTGCTAGCAGAAGTTCCTTTCATGGAGCTGGATTATGCAATTGCAAGGATCATGGGACCTACGTGGACTAACAGCTACGCAGGTCGGGAGGCTGTAGTGCGAAGGGGGAAAGGAACGGAATTGGTCTCTTCTTCCTTTTGTGTAAGCAAAGCTGTAGTGATGGGAGAGGCAGAAAGGGAAGCCCCCCCCCCCCCCCGGATCCTTGACCTTTGTGGTTGTTAGTCCATGGAAGTTCTGTGACCTTGGGAATAAAGTTTCCCAAGTTTAGAAAGTAGGAGAAGGTCCCCAAGTGTCACTGCCTTCTGCTGATGGATTGTGGGATCCAACCTATGTGTTTTCCTATAGTGCCTGGCATAATGTTGGCAGCAGATGATAAGCAGTTATAAACTAGAGCTGTCTGAGGTTTATCCCCAGCCAAATCTTTTATTTAGGACAGTCAGGCAGCTATTGATTTCACAGTGCTTGCAGATATGTGCATATGTCATATTTCTTTTATCCGAGTCTTTTCTGGATAATGGCTAATTTTGTAAACATGGCACCATAAAAATGACAGTTTGGGACACTAACAGAACAAAGAATTAAATCAACGATGAGAAAATGTATGTATATGACTTATACAACTTTCTCTCTCTCGTTTTAGGCATGATGATGCCGCAGTACAAACTTTCTCAGAATTCCATGCACGGTAGTCCTGCATCTTCCAATTATCAGCAAACCACTATCTCTCATAGCCCTTCCAGGTAACTTGTCACATGGGGTTTTAATTTTGTTTGGAGCTTTTTCCTGTAGGTTTCATATGTAGGTCTAGGTGCTCAGTTTATCCTTGTTCTAACTGCTTTCAGCTTTAACTTGAGAAGTGATTTGAGAACACTTTGTGTCATCAGTTCTTAGCATTTGCTAATACAGACAAGTACAAAGCAGTAGATTAGTGCAATTTATGGTCTAATATGTAGCCACGAAAGTGGCTCCAAATAACATTTATAGAGGATAACAGCAAATATGCTATTAGTTTATTGGTCTTGCAATTGTTCACCACTCTTCCCCCTCTCGGTATAAGTAATAAGACAGAGAATCTCTGGCTAACATATCAGCTGGAGCCCTCACATTTATAAGAGTTTTATACAAGTTCATTATAAAAATTAGTAAGCAGTATAAATTCTAAGTAAAAGTTAATTCAGGATTCAAATAAAACCTCTCAGAACTCTACTCCCCCTTTATTCTGAAGCACAGGGATATATACTGGTAGGGCTATGGGATAATATACAGCTATTGTAAGCATTACCAAAGAACTTCAAACATGAGAAACTCCTATATCATAACTGACCTGAATGCCCAGCTAGCCTGATCTCATCAGATCTCTGAAGCTGAGCAGGGTTGGCACTGGTTAGTACTTGGATGGGAGACTACCAAGGAAGTCCATGGTCACTGCACGGAGGCAGGCATTGGACATCTCTTGCCTTGAAAATCATATGGGGTTGCGATAAGTTTGGCTGCAACTTGACAACACTTTCCACTACTAATTACATACCTGTTTTCAATAGAGAATAACTGTCGCTGAAAGTAGAGAATGATGTCACTGAAAGGCCTTAGGCTAGTCACCTGCAACTATAGGCAACTCTCACGACTTAATTAGGACACAATGCAAATTGATGTTGTTTTACCAAGAGAGAGAGAGAAAAAAACAGCTATTTTTTCTTGTGCTCAATTATAGTTTTTATGGCCAGTTGTAATTCTAACAACTTCATCAGGAGCACAGCAAGGTCTGAATCTCCCAACCCCTCAGAAGCCCCTGAACCTCCCCTGTTGTCCTATTCCCTCTCACAAACTTAGCTGGTGGCAGGCATCTGCCTATCCTTCCTCTCCCTCTCTGTGTGAGTTGGGGGGGAACCTGGAGGATAGTGTTTTCTCAGGGCTCGTTGCACATGGGCCTTTACTGATGCATCCTTCAAGGCCTGGCAGGGAGGCAAAGGCCTCCATAGAAACATGAAGCCTTGCTCTTTGCCACCATTTTAGTTTGGGAGAAGGGAAAGAAGTATGGCCTGAGAACCAATAGTACTTGGGGACATAATGGACACTTTGTACTTAGGAAGACATTAGAGACCACCAGCATTCACAATTCTGAGCCTGGAAGTTACAAAGTTCAGCACAACCATTGCTGTCAGCCTAACCTACTTCACAGAGGTTTTGTGAAAATAAAATGGAACAACTCAATATATATATATATATATCTTACCATGATCACCTCAGAAGGAGGACAGGATATAAACATTATTGAAAATAATTACGTTTTGTGGTGATAACTTTTTTATGTTTTAATTGCAACCCCCAAACAGAAAGAAATAAAAAAGTCAAGTGATAATCATTTATAAAAGGTTTCCAAAAGTATGTCCATGCACAACTGTCCTGTATATGCCATAAATGGAAATGTTGCTAATAATAAGGTTTTAAGGTCCTCAATCCACTGGATTACCGGAGGTGGGCATTTATCTCTCCAGTGTTGTAATACAAGTCTTTTAATAACAGTAAAGGCATGGAGGGTCCATTTTTGTTAACTGTCAGTTAGCCTTGAAGAAACAGACAAATGATTTAAAAGTACATAAATATTTGCAGAGATTGGTGAATATACTAGAACGAAATCGATATGAGTAATTACTTCCTCTCCAAAAGACTGAATAACTGAACAAGTCCAAAGCATATGCTTAAGAGCAGTGCCAGCAGTTAGACAGTCATTTACTTTAAAAGGCACTGTGGTGTCCAGTATATCCTAAACATAATTTTCAGCTGAGTAAATCACAGCTTGAGATACATAGAAACAGCGGGTATAAAATTTAGGACTATATCCCATTGCTTTCTCAAAACAGGATAATTTAGCTACTTATTCCATTTCATTTGAGACTTTGTGTGTCATATTTACTAATTAACAAATATTCATAAACAAATATTGTAGGCATCATTTTTTGTATTGGTTCAATGAGAATTTCTATGAGTAAGGGAGATTCGGAAACATTTAGTGCTGCAAGGCCATATTTAGATACCAACAGATGTTGCAGTTGTAATATTGTTCAGCAGAGGTTGACAGGCCATGTCTAGTCCTTCGCTGAGAAAATCACAAAAAAAATCACCTTCATAGTCTATTGAATTCATAGTCAATGATTTGTGATGGTGTCTTGTGTTTATTGTATAAAACCATTTCTGGTTTTGAAATTGGTTCATGTACGGTAACTATAGGTAAACAATTTTTGTATTTGATTTTATATACATATTTATTTGGATTTTATTTTCAGTCGCTTCGTGCCACCGCAGTCAAGTTCTGGTAACAGGTTTATGGCACCACAAAACAGCCCAGTGCCTAGTCCATATGCTCCTCAAAGCCCTGCAGGATACTTGCCATACTCACACCCTCCAAGTTACACGCCGCACCCACAGATGCAGCAAGGTAAATACTGTCTCCTTGGGTCGTCACTATTTGCATTAAGTTAGTCTGTATCAATTTCTTATACTCTGTAATACAGTTGTAGCTGCTTCTCATAACACAACTTCCATATTTTGGTAAGGGAAAAAAGCAAGCAAATATACAAACATTAAGCTAGTTGATTTTTTTTAAGAAACTGCCTGATGATTCTAGCTGTCTTTCATGGGAACTATAAAATGAGAGAGAGAAAGACACTCACTCTGAGATAAAGCAATTTTTTTTACTAATGCACCAAACGCACACAATACAAATCTTTCTTCTTATCAAACCAGCATGCTCATATTGTCTTTTCACTTCTCAAACATATCTATTTAATGAACCTGTTTCTTTCTTTATAATGAATGAGTATATTTTGCTTACTGTTCTTTAAATTATATTTAAAACTATTATAAACTGTGGCTGCTTTCAGATATCACAATAAAATGTGGTTTGAGTAAACACAATTTTATTATGGTACCCACATGTAGGCTGCCCAACAAACTCTGGTTTGTTATTTGGTTCCCTAACTTGTTTACTGTTTAAGTGTTAACTGATTTTTAATTGTGACTGGGAAATACAAGGGAGCTTAGGATGGCAGTCACAATTTCTTCTTGGCGATGAGAAAGGAGCCAACCAGTAAAGTTAACTGGCATTGACAGTCAAACTGTGGTCTGTTCAATACAGCTGTTAGACTAAGTTGGATTTCTGCATCAGACTAGTTTAAAACAGTTTTGGTGACATCTGAATAGAATCTATGGGTTGAAATTTGTCACACCATTTCAGTTTCCAGCTGTTGCTCTCCATTTTGTAATATAGGACCAAGGTACAGAAAGGAGAGCTTTTATTACATAAATAGATTGATTGTAACAATATTTCAATTTATAGTATCAGGAAAAACAAATGTTGCAACAAAGTATAGATTACTTTTGTTTTTGCAGCTTTTCCAGAGAGAACAATCTCTCCCCTACCCAGTCCAGACACACACTTTGTATTTACAAACTTTTAATTAGTTGCTGTAGATTTTCCGGGATGTGTGGCCGTGGTCTTGGCATTGTAGAACCTTATGTTTTGCCAGTAACTGTGACTGGCATCCTCAGAGGTATAAACACAGAAAGATGGAATACTCTCTGTGTTAAGGTGAGAAGAAAATGGTAGGCAGTAAAAACAAACCCAAACCTTAGAGTACTTGTGGGAGATCTCTCTCTCTCTCTCTCTCTCTCTCTCTCTCTCTCTCTCTCTCTATATACAACAATTACTCCTCTCTCTCTGTCTCTCTCTGTCTCTCTCTGTCTCTCTCTGTCTCTCTCTGTCTCTCTCTGTCTCTCTCTGTCTCTCTCTGTCTCTCTCTGTCTCTGTCTCTCTCTCTGTCTCTCTCTCTCTCTCTCTCTCTCTCTCTCTCTCTCTCTCTCTCTGTTTTTATAAGCAACAATTACTCCTATCAATACTTGTTTTAAGGTTATGAGAAGCTTTGTAACTGTTTCACATGATACTTTACCAATATGCAAGTGTGGGGAAAGCCCATTTATAACATGGATGTATGAACAGGGGTGTTGGTTGGAGGTTTTTTTGCATCTTTTACTATGTATTGGCTTCCACTCATTGTTTCCTAAAGTGTATACTTGAATGAATGTGGTACAGTGTTTATGTTGCAATGTAAAAAGCTGCTTCCTGCATTCAGAAGTGAAAAGCTTCAAGACATAGATGACTCTTCAGCAAGTCTGATAACAAGGCTTGAGAGCTTAATATAGAGGATCTCACATTAATTAACTGGTTTGAATCAATGTGGGTGTAACAGTTGCACAGAACAACCCATGAGCTATGCAAGGCAGCATGTCAAATTACAGTCATTTTGTGATACTAGCCTTGTACTCCTATTTATTTAAAACATCTATAAGCTTGCCTTTCTCCCAGATAACTGTTATTCCAGCTGATTTTGGTTGGTTTAGACTGGAGTAATCTGCATAGGTTTGCAGTGTAATCAGCATGTTGACTGGAGTTTGTTTCTAGTAGAAATATTTGAGAGTTGTAGTAATCAACTCTCCATCTGTTTGAAGTATTTCCACCTTAGATTTCCTTTTTTTAAAATGATATCATTAATCAATGGAGTGTAACAATTTTGTACATCATCAACTCACAATGACACTATAAAGACTACCGTGTTTCCCCGAAAATAAGACACTGTCTTATATTTATCTTTTCTCAAGAAGACACACTAGGGCTTATACCACAAATGCATAGAAATCCTGCTAGGGCTTATTTTTTGGGTAGGTCTTATTTTCGGGGAAACAGGGTATTGAGATTAAATGCCCCCCCCCCCCGACTTGTCTTAAAGGCCTCTTCAGTGTACACATGATGGATGTGTTTCTTGTGCAGGAGCCAGCATGCACAGACTTGTACTATTCATATATTACAGTTCCATGGTGGGACAATTGTCAGGGATGCTTTAGGCTGATCCTGCATTGAGCAGGGGGTTGGACTAGATGGCCTGTTTGGCCCCTTCAAACTTTGTTATTCTAAAGTAGACAGTGAGGGTTCCAGGGGGGTACTGTCATGGGCTGGGCTGGCCTGAGAGGCAGAAGTCAGGTCTGGTCTGGGGGTCGTAGCCAGGAGAGACAGAACAGGAGCCGAGTTGAGAGAGTGGTCATTCAAAGCAGAAGGTCAGGAAGCCAGAAATCCAAACAGGAGTGAGGTCCAAGAGCAGGAGCTGAGGGTGGATGCAAGGCCAGCATGGATGCGACTCGTTGCTTCCACAGAGAGCCCACTCCCGAGAGGGAGCTATATAGGCCTCCGGCTGTGCTTCCCTGAGTGGCGGTGCTGCTCCTGTTAGTGCTCAGGGCTTGGCGCTCACCTTCCCTGCAGGCAGGTTGCCAAGTTCTTGCGGAGCCGCTCCCTCAGCCGAGCCACCTGCGGAGGTGAATCCGGCCTCATCACCTGCTGCAGGACTAGGTGTGGGGGTTACTGACTTGGGCACTAGTGGGGGCAAGCTGTCAACTCCCGAGGTGACAGAGGGGCCAACTTCCAGCTCTGGTGATGATGGTGATGCTGGCAACTCCAGCTGCGCTGCCAACTCAGGCGGGGGCCTGGCACCATTGTCCATGACAGGTACCAGGCACAAAAGTTCAGATTTGGGGACAATGCTTGTTTAGTTGTAGGAGTACTTGAAGGTTGAAGTAGTGCTGCAATTCCACTTTTGAAAGAAGTTGTAAATGCTTAAATAAAGATACTAAAATCATTGCTGAAATATATACTTGTGCAAGCTAAAAGACATTAAAAGCAAACGTTTTCAACACTATTATCTTATTTCAGCTTCGGTATCCAGTCCCATTGTCTCAAGTGGGATGAGGAATATACATGAAAATAAGGTTACAAGTCAGTTGTCTGGAAGTTCAGCCAATCATCATACTGATAATTCTAGACATGGCTCCAGTGAAGACTACCTACAGATGGTGCACAGAATAAGCAATGAAGTATGTAATATACTACTGTTTTAACATAAGCATTTCATTTTTCAAATACCTCAGTTGAAGTTAGTCCTCCAGCTGTATTTTTTTATCACTGAGATGTGGTTAAATGTTTTTGTACTGAGGTACTCATATTGTCTATTATAGAGATGAAGGTTCTCTACACATTATTAAAACATTAAACTCAGGTGTTTTCCCAAGTCTCAGTTTTATAAATTATTTGACTGAGTGATACAGGAGCTGCAATTGGCTTATGATGCACCTGTTCACACAAAAAATACAAAGTAATTGCAGAAGTGCTCATTTCTAACTGTTGACTAATATGATTCTAGGATGGAGATTCTTCAATAAGGAACGCTGCATCATTTCCCTTGAGGTCTCCACAATCAGTGTGCTCCCCTGCTGGAAGTGATGGAACACCTAAAGGTATTTTTAGTGCGCTGTCAAACACCTGTAGAGCTCTAGACATATGCTAAAAGTACAGGACAGATGGATCATTCAGATGAAACTAGAAAACCCTCTTGCATTATTAAAACATCATTTTGGGTCCTAAATTAAAACCTGTTTAGCATTTGAAGTGGTATCTTCAAAATTGCTAATCTGGATTCTTTAAGAACACTTTGTCCATGTGGAAAGTTAAACTATATTAACCACACATTTAAATGTTTATCATAATTTAAATGCACAATTGCATCTTAGTCCTCTGAAGTACCATAAGATAAAATGATGTATAATTATTAGAGATCTGTTCCATTGAATTTCTACATTGTTGCAAATAAAATTCCAATTTATGATTTTTTGTACGGATGATGTGAAGTTAACATCAGTAGCTGTTCTTGGGCTGGATCCTGCCTAGCTTTTCTGGCACAAGAAAGAGAGGGCTGCCCCGGCCCCCCTTCCTGGCAGTTTTGCCTCACAGTTCCCTTGATCTGTGACATAACCTTTTCTGCAGTGGAAAGGTGCCACTTCTCCATCTTACGAGATCAGGATAGCTGGTATGATTCATCCTCTTATCTTTTAAAAAATTGTAATCCATGATAGACCACACAGGCCTTTTGTTGTGTCCTGCCATTTGTCTGATAGTCCCTGTTTGTGTTTTGTAGTCCCAGGGAGACCATGCAAACAAGAGATTTATTGAGGTCCTGGTGGGCTTGTATGGTGACTGATAGGTCACCTGCTTTTCAAAACTGCTGTTCTGTGCTGCAGTTCCTCCAAAACCCTAAACTATGGTCCTCCCAAATAGTGATTCTAGTTCCATCAGCATGGCCTGATGTCACTGAACATCATACGATTGAAAAGTATTCCTAATGAGAAGTATTTTTTGGAAAGCATTTACTTGTTGTCCTTGTGCTGCAAAATCAGTAAATAGGGAAGCAGCTAGATAGAAACATTTTATTTTTTCCTTTGTAATAGTATAAATTCTTCAGTCACATCTGTGGAAAAGAAATGTATTTCTGACCATTTATCCATCATAAACTTTTTATTAATATTTTGGCAATACAATACATCAATAAAATAACATTAACTTCCACAATTTTCAAAGTATTTTAAATACTAAGCAGTAGAACCATAATATCTTCACATACAGAATTAATTTGAGAAGTGTTTTCTAGAAAGAGTATTAGTTTCAGCTTCTGCGTTATTATAAATCAATTTGTTTATTTCTGACCATTTATAAAGTTATTGATGAGTAGTCTGCTTGACAGTTTCTGTTAAACACCATCAATGTGGAAAAGTTTCAAGATTCTCAAATCTTCAGTTGAACCAAAGTGTGTACTTAGTGCAAATTACCTATAGAAATTTTACTGTCTATTGTAATGAGTTTGAATGTGTGGCAGGCTGGTGACAAATGTATGCTGAGGCAGTAGATGGCTGGCATTGCTGCTGTTCCACATTAAAGACACTTCTTAATGGTTAGAAGCAGAATTTTAGTCTCTTTGCATGTGTAGTTATAAACTTTTGAGGCTTTGTGGAAAGAGAGTTGTGTGCCTGGGGAGCTGAGCTCATGCCAAGGATACTTCTTTTCTTGCCCCCTTTGTTGAGTCTGATATGCTGGGGAGCGATTAAGAAGCTGCTGGAAGCTGACCAGAGACACGAAGGGAAGAATGGGCACGAGGAGGAAGGCAGTTCCTAATTTATGCCAGTCAGTCTTAGGTGGTATACAAAGAAGGAAGCTTTGAGTAGTTTATGGTCATCTCAGTATTTTTGTCTAGCGCTTATGAGAAGTTTGATGACAGCTTCTCTATAGGTAATCGAAGTTTCCTTGAGTTATCAGTCACACTCACTAACTCAGATGTGATGTTGATGCTTTGGTGGCAGTTCTGCTTTTTAAAAGGCTGATTATTTTGACGTATCCAACAATAAAGACACAAAAGGTTACATAATCATTAGCTAATCACCATAACTAAGTATTCAAGGGGCTTAATATTATGGAAGTTTGACTCTTATCCAGCCAGATCTCCACATACTACATTGGCATATGGTAGTGCATTTATAGTGGAAGTGTATAATTTTCAGCTTTCTACAATTCCTAAAAATTCATCCAGGTACCGAATTGTATTAATTTGCATAATGAATTTTCACAAAATTGCACACTCAAAATACACTTTCAGTTTTTCCTTTTCAAGTTTGCATTCTGTCAAAAAATATCACAAATATTCCAGAATTGTGCCATAACTCACTTGGTGACAAGGGTTCAACATTTCCATCGCAAACACTTACTGAATTTAAGTGCATGAACACATACATGGTAGGCCACTTGGATTGTCCTGCCTAATGAATAATAGCCACCATTTACCCATCCCAAAGTGGTAAAAACTTTGTTGTTATAGTGGATTCTCAGGTGAGTGAGATCCCAGGTGAGAGTTAAGAGGGAGTGAAGGAAAATGTTGGTTCAGCATTCATTTATTTCGGAAAGTGGTATGTGTTGCACTGATGCGTGAGGATGCTTCAGTGTGTTTGAACCATGAGCAATTCTACATTTGCAGATGTTGAATAAGATTCAGTATTCCAGTGATATGAGCCGGTTTGAAGTACTTTGCCTTAAACTGAAGGTTAAATACAAGGTTTCATATTCCATTGAAGCTGGATCATCTGCATGAGGATTGTAAATTGCAAAACTACTAATCTTCTATGATTTCTAAAATGATAGAAATGTTTCCTTCAGTAAAATGATCAAGCAAGTAGTAAAGACTTCAGTTTTTCAAGAGTTAAGATCAGTAACTGTCGATGAAGAGGAAGAATGGTAAGGAAGTTTTCTCACAATAGAAATTAAGGGAGAATCCTGTATTTGAAGGCTGAACTGAAGCCCAAGGCCTAGACTGTTTTATCACGATTTTTATAGCAGATAAATCCCTAACCAATGAATGTGGTGGATTTTTTTCCTTTGTACAATTAAACCTTTCTACTAGATAGTCTTCTGACACATACTCACACATGAACACATATATATGAAGTCCTCAGTTATTATACTTTACCTTCAAGGTATCGAAGCAAGAAAGAGTTGGTAGTTATATGATTCAAGAAGGTAGTAATATAGCTAGCAACTATATAGCTAAATACCTTAGGGACCATCTATGCTGGTTTTTGGACAACATTCACATTGGAACATCTTGGTAATAAGCTCATGTGATGAGTGATTCCGCAAAACAAAATCAACATAGAATAAAGACCCATTCATACAGAAAAATGGACAAGTTTTGGACTCTGGTATGCAGCTGGATTAAACATTCATTGACCTTGGATTCAATTCTGGATGCTAGGTGAGGGCTTGACGGGTCCTTTCCAGTTGTGAACCATTCCCGGCTGAAGGGAAAAAGAATGCACTGTCCACAGTGAACCATTTCTTCAGTTGGTGGAAATAGCTCATGTAGTGGCAAGACTTACATTCTTAGGATCCCAAAGCATGTACCATGTTGCCAGTCTTTTATGGACGAGGAAGGGAACCAGGCATCACAGTGAAGTTGAATTCAACGGTAGAGACTGTGCAGTGTCTCAGAGATGAAGGAGCATCATCTTAAGAGAAGATAATGTTAGTACCTACATGCCTGTTGGGAAAAGGTAGAGAAAAGAAGTCTGTATATCAAAGTGCAATAGAGTTATTACTTCACTAGTGGAATGCCTCTTGATGAAGCAGTAAATCTTTTCAACTTTGAATTGTTTCTGTATGTGAAAGTTGCTGATACCAAGCAAGCTGCAACTCCCCATAGTCGGATATGTTGAATGGCTAGCCATGAAGGTCTGAGACCCAAGAAGCAAACCAGAATTTATAAGAAAATGTTCCTACTCACCAGAGAGTCAGATTCTTTGTGAAATACTTAGCTAAGTATAATCCCATCATAGAAGTTTTCAGGTATATCATCGTACCTGGTGAAATATCTGGAAAAAGAGACTCCTGCTTCTTTCTAAAGTGCACTTATAAATTAGCTGACGCCTGCTTATAGACTCAACTTTACTAAATTCTACAGTCATCTGCAAAAGAAGAAGAGACGACCTGTAATCATCCCAGATTGAGTTTAACCGTGCTTTTTAATGGAAGAGAAGTACTATCCTCCACTACTAACCCCTTTTCTAGCGTTTTCTAGGTGCAACCAAAATAGGCTATGTTACTGAACATCCTTTCTAGGCAGGTTAACTGCATTGCAAGCATTGTAAGGAAGGGAATCCCTTGATTTCAGCTTGTTCAATTGGTGAACTGTTTCTGCCTCAAAGTGGCTCACAGGTCCCTAGCTGGAAATTTTTTGTTAGGAGGACAATTTTTTTCCTAAGGGGGCAGTTCAGCATGATGGAGAGCAGCCCATTATGTGTCTGTACAGAACTGCCATGCTTATACTTCTAAATAATTAAGTGGTATATCACACAAAAATGTTTCATTTTTCTTACAGAGATAATTACATATAGGACATATTGAGCACTCATAACAAGTAACAGACAATGTACATTTTCCAACTGTTCAACTCTGAAGTTTAACAAGACATGGTATAAGAGATACTACGCAGGCTAGATTGGGTTAGACCACATAAATGAGCTTTCATACTGCACCAAGAGATATTGGGACAGAAAATCTGGTAATGGCTGTTCTCCCGGTCAGTAAGTGTGTAATAGGAGTGTGCATTCGATATATACCAAGCCAAATAAATACGCGAAAAATACCTTAATGGTATTTTTTAATCTGATTTGGCTACCAATCTAGTTGACACTGAATAAAAGCTGATATTATTTGGCTTTTATTTGGGCTCCGCTTCACTTGCCGAAATGGCGTGAATTCACCCACCTTCCGTGTGAACTCGGGCCACTTCCAGGTTCCTCATGTGGGTCTTGGCTTTGCAAAAGCCATTTAAAGGGAAAGTTCCCTTTAAATGGCTTTTGCAAAGCAAAGCCATACATGTGCCTCCCCTCCCTAAGTCACACTGCTGTGGGGGCACGCGTCAGCGAGTGAAGGGAAGGCATTTAAAGCCTTCCCTTCACTTGCTGAGGTCTGCTGCCATGGTACCGTACAACTTAATTAGGGAAGGTATTTGAAGTTTAAATACCTTCCCTTCTCTCCCTGAGTTGGGGCAGTGGCATGCTTCAGTGAGTGAAGGGAAGGTATGTCTTTAACAGCCACTTGATCTGAAGAAATCAGCAGGTGATGCTTCAGGTGGCATGGGAATAAGCCATATTGCCTATAAATGCCTAAACATGAAGTTGCTGTTAAACAGAGAAGGATAAAGATCTATTTTCATGCACCTCTGGGAAAACCATTTGATGGCATTTTAACTTGGACATGTTTAGAGGTTTGGCCAAATTAACAGGTTGCTGTACCAACAACTGAAGGTCTATGAAGGGTTAATTTTTCACAGAGCCATAGAGCCTTGAGTGACAGGCTGGTGTTTCTGCCCTTCCAATCCGATTGCTTAGAGCAGCCTGTCACTCAAGGCTGTCTTGTTGTGTGAAGAATTAACCCTTCGCAGTCCTCTGGTTGTGGGTACAGCACTTCTAAGCCTCTTACGAAGTCTGTCATAACCAGATTCAGAAAAACGGAATGAAACAAAAATGAAGGCAAAAGATATGAAAATTCTCCCAAGACTCAGCAGGAAAAAACAAACATATACATGCACAGCAATCCGACCTGCGGAGGAAGTTCCCCCAACCTCCGTACTTAGCGGTACCACTTCCTTGGAGCTCCAAGCCAGGCTTCCACAGCCCACCGATCATTTTCAGGCTGCCATCTTACAAGGAAACAACTGGAGGCATCCATAACCACTGCAAACTTGTCGGTCTACTCCAGTGGCCTCCAACCAGCCAGTCGGTCGGTTTATTAGCCGCATCAAGAGCTGATTCCAAGGCAGTACTTACCTGCCAGGAGGAGACCCCATAAGGCTAAGAGGGAAACACCAGTTACTTTGTTAGCGAGAAGCCCGTAAAGGAAAGCTGAAGGTGCCCACCTTGTCTCAAGCCCAGATGGCTGAGAAGGCCAAGAATGCCTTTCTAGACCATCCCAGAAGAGAACGTGCAACTCTTCTGAGTACCATGATGAAAAGAAAGCTATCGAATGTGCTGGACGGCAGTTTGGTGGGGTAGGGAACATTCGGGGTGGGGCCATCACCTTTGTCAGTCTCCCTATGGCTATGGGCCTGTGCTGTCTTCTCCCATACATTCCTGCCCAGCAATTAAGATCATGGGAAAATGCCCTCCTGACTGTTCCACCAATTAAAGATGCTTATTTGGTGGGTACAAGTGGCAGCCCAAGAATTATAGAATAACCTCTCCATGGAGGTGTATCTAGCCCCCTCATTGTTGATCTTCGGGAGGTTATTGAAGATGGTTTTATTTCAGGACTGCATTTTGATTGATTTAGCTTTCATTAGTGGCAGTCCTAAATTGGAGTTTTTAAGCTGTGATTTTATGGTTTTTATAATTATTATTTTATTGTGCTGTTATAACGTTTTATTTATATTGTAAGCTGCCTTGAGTTCTGCAAAGGAGAAAGACAGCTAATAAATGTTTAAAATAAATAAACAAAATCCCTAATAAAGATAACTGCTTCCTGATAATGAACTCACATGTCATTTGAGTGCTGTTACTTGATGTGCATCCCCTTAACTTTTGCTAAACGTATCTAACACTAATCATAACACTAACAAATATATATATATATATATTTAAAAACAAACCACCAAAGATGCAGAACAAAAATAAAATTTAACTGATGATTCATAAATATTAGCAAAAGATAGACCACCCCCCGCCTGCCCATGCAAAACTAACGTTGGGCAGCTCTGTTTGAGAAGCTAAAGATGTTTAGACACAACATTCTCGTAAGAATCAAACAACTGCCAAACAGTCTTTGTTTGGAACAAGTGAACAGTGTGGATAAAATACACTACTCTGAAATACGAAGTCTCTGAAGAGGACATCAAGGAATTTCCCATTTTTTGTGGTGGTGTTTCAGGAAGCAAACATACCCCTCGTGCATAAAAGCTTTGAGAGTTTTAGCATTATTTAGGAATCAGAATGATAGTACTCCAGATAAGACAGATGTTCAAATGTCATGACGGACCAAACTGCTGTAGAGTATCACAAAAATACATGCTGGAGAGTGGGGAAATGGCAGTGAAGTTAAAACAGCTGACAGAATATAAAAAGCAAGTAGAATGAATGGTGGGGGATAGGGGCAAAGATACCCTTTGCTTTTAATGTAGAATTTGATTTCTCCCCTTACTACATTTCCCTTGTTGATATTTCTATGAAGAAATTTCAGTTCTGGAATAACTTCTGTTAGTTTGTTAGGGGTTTTTTTCTTTTCTTTTTCAGAACACAATTTAACTGTGTATTGCTAAGGTGCTGATGAATGTGCTTGTTTTTGAATGTCATTGTAAACTTTCTCATGCTTCTAATGCAAATTCTCAATCACTGTACTTCGTTAGTATATTGTGAGACTTCATCTTCTCACCTCTCTACTTCAGTGGAAGAGCTTGCTTTTCATTGTTGTGTCTCCTTAGACACCTGTTTAGATAGAAGGGTGAGTTGTGTTCAGTTAAAATGTCACAAACAAATGGTTTGTGATAGGCACAACCCTGATTCATTTTGGACACTTCTACTCCCTCACTCTTCAGTGAAAAGGTGCATTGTATTACGGGCAGGACATAATAGCAAGCACTCTGTGTCTTCTTGTGAAAGGTATTGATAGAGGTTCTTAATGCATTGCATATAGGAGTGTGCAATTTTTTATCAGTATTTTTCATTTGGGGTCTATTGGACCCCAAAGAATTTTCGTATTTTTGAAAAATCCTGGATCCCAATATGGTATAGTATTTGGATCTGAGGTTTTTCAGAAATCCCCAATTTTTAGGGGGGTCCAGTAGACACAAGAAGAAAAATACTACTTTTTTTTTTAAAGCCAGCCTAATCCTGGGGCTGGCTTGGCTTGAGAAGCCAGCCCCAGGTTCTCCATACCACGGGGAGGCCTGCTCCTGCTGCATGCAGATCCTGGCTGGGATGGCTTCTCCTGTAGCATTGTTTAAACTTGCACTGCAGGAGAAGCTGGCTCCAAGATCTTCATTCAGTGGGGAAGTCTCTCCCTGCCGCCCGCAGATTCTAGCTGAAATGGCTTCTGCAGCACAGTTTAAACCGTGTTGCAGGAGAAGCTGGCCCCAGGATCTGCGTGCGGCAGGGAGATTTCTCCCTGCCGCATGCAGACCTGCAGCTGCAGGGGAAGCTGACCTCAGGATCTGCTGTGCCGTCACTAGCAGATTGCTCCTTGCTGCACAGCAGCTTTTGGGGCTGAATGCTGCATGAGAAGACAGCCCCAAGCCAAGCTCCTGGAAACAGTATGCTGCCCCCAGCACAGCTGATCCTCAGGCTGCCTTCTACAGTCCCTTTAAACTATAAAGGGATTGCAGTAGAAGCCTGACAAACAGCTGAAAGGCAGGAGCAATCTGCTCCCACCTCTCTGCTGTTTTTTGAACTACTGGGATTTTCTTGGTTTTCTTTTCTCAAAAAACCCCCAGATACATTTGGGGAGCCAAAATATACCCGAAACCAATAATTTATTTTTCGGGTAGATCTGAATGCACACCCCTAGTTGCATGAATGGAAGTGTTCTAAACAATTGTACAAGTGCAGTGATGTGCCAGAAAAAAATACTTCCTTCTGCTTATTAGAAAATAATGTTTCCAGCTGTAGAAAGTATATAAGTTTCGTGTGGTTAATCTGTGTAAAGAGCTGGAAACAAATGAAAGCAAATGATCTATTTAATATTTTTAAAAGAACAAATTCACTTCTTGCACATGAAGTATTCCTCAACTGATGTGTGTTTTGGCTTTTAGCAAATTTCAAAACAGAGGGAGTTTCTGTGATATTGTGTGTGTGTTGTAGTACATTTCGCCTGTCTGCTTCTCATCATTTTGGGGTTTTGGATTCTAGTGAACTCTGGATATGTCCTAGCTTTGATAGGCCTTTAATTAACCAATATCTTTTAGTAGTTGAAGCCCTGGCCTAATTAAGTTGCTTGGTGTCAAAATAGTTTCCACCTCTTTTTAGAGTGATAACTTTCTTGGTAGATTTGGATTGCCAAGTTGATAAGAGGTAAAGGCATCTTCTACTGCAGCTGCTATTACTTTGTATTAATAAGGATTATGAGTTATTCCTCTGAATGCAATTTTTTTCTATTATGTATGTGAAAAAAATCTGTAAAAATACAAATGATTAATAAAGATTATTTTAGTGTGTTTTTATACAAATGTGAACCAACATAACTGTTCAGTTTTTCTAAATTATTGTTCTAGGATCAAGACCACCATTAATACTTCAGTCTCAGCCTCCACCTTACTCATCACCTAGAGATGTTCCCCCAGACATATTATTAGATTCTCCAGAAAGAAAGCAAAAGAAACAAAAGAAAATGAAGTTAGGCAAGGATGAAAAAGACCAGACTGAAAAGGCTGCAATGTATGATATCATTAGCTCTCCATCCAAGGACTCTACTAAACTTACGTTAAGACTCACTCGTGTAAGATCTTCAGATATGGACCAGCAGGACGATATGCTTTCTGGTTTGGAAAACAGTAATGTTTCAGAAGGGGATATTTCTTTTAATGTTCAGTATCCAGGACAGACTTCTAAAACACCCGTTACTCCACAGGATATTAATCGCCCACTAAATGCTGCTCAGTGTTTGCCGCAGCATGAACAAACCGCATTCCTTCAGGCACAACAAGTGCCTGTTTTACAACCGAACACTTCAGTTTCTGCAAAACAACCTCAAAATCCTTTGGTACAGACGCATCAACAGGTTTCGCAACATGGAACTATAACGCCATACGATGAAGTAGAATTGGATGCATTGGCTGAAATTGAACGGATAGAACGTGAATCAGCTATTGAAAGGGAGCGATTTTCAAAAGAAGTGCAAGACAAAGGTAAAAATATTGCATACATGTGCTAATATACATTTTTCTCAAAGGGGTCCTTGAAAAGTGAACCATTTATTTCATACTCTTAGTACAAGATCACTACTTGCTATTTCTAAAGCTTTAGTGATTAAAGCTGTAGGGCGACTGAGTGCTTTTGGTTCTTGAGAAAGGTGGGTTGTATTCATGTGCACGTTTAAAGGTAGTGATTTTTCTAAGTAGGAGATAGGACAGGACTGTTTGAAATACTGGTTACTAAAGGTTTTATTAGTAGAGCAAGAAATAGTTGAATATTTGAAGTTGGAGTAACGTTTATTTACATGATCACTGTTAGCAATATACGCTGTATAATGCTTCAGTAAGTAGATCTTTGCCTATTGCTTCTTTAGTATCTGAGTATCTTTGTCGCCTAGTTATATTTTATTGTTCATCTATAATAAATTTAGGAAAAATAATTCACTTCAAATTAATGAGGTATAAACATACAAAAAAATTTTTGGACATGAATACCATGAATTAAAATTAACGTTTGAATGAATGACTGTATAAAGATGTGCTTCTCCAAAAGCTGCTTGAACCCAGGTTCTCCTTTGAAGTCTCATTGCTGACACTGCTGCTGCTGTCCAGTTTGTACATTGTATAAATTACTGAGCAGTTCACTTTCGCAGCTGTAGCTGTAAGTAAATAGCAATATATGCAGCATAGCTGCTGGTTGCTCTTTAAGCACAAGTCAAACTTGGCTTCATTTATTAGAAAAGGCAGTGTTTTCTTCATGTAGGACAGTTTCATAAACTTAAATTTGGGTCCAGCTCAAATGCATCTTGTGCTTTTCTAGCTAGGGGGATCCTCCTTTTTGTATTGCTTTTGTTGCTGCCATACATGTGTTGCCACCCAGCCCCAGTATCAGGAGCTGGCATGATTGATTATTTACTGGGACCCATATATTAAAAGGAAGTGCATTATCTCTGACTGGGTACTGAAGCCCCTAAAATTATGGCGGTGATGAGCAGTGGGGACTGGGCCAGAGGAAGGGAGCAAGTGAGTGCATCAGAAGCTGTGACAGAGATCAGTGGTTGGCCTGGAGTAAATGATAAAAGATTGGGCAGCCTCAGGTGCTTCCGGCAGGAAAGAAATCTGTAGAACCGCTATGTATCAGCCGGTGGGAAAGCAGGTGCTCCTTGATGCCATGCTCAATGTAGCAAACTACAGCAGACCTGTTGCAGGGGGTGATGAGCATCATATGCCCCATTATGGTTTAGGCATGATGGCAGTGCCACTGCTGCTTCAGTGTATGCAAAGCTACTGTGTTTTCCTTCTTCTGTAGATCTAATACTTCTGATAAAGAACTGTATACTCAGATATGCTCCTTGTAAACAGCCTTATATGTGGATTTACTACATTCTTTTTTACATTTTTAGAAAAACTTTGCATTGCTTCTTCTTAGCAACAGTATATGAAATAGTGGTGAATTGTCTCCTGACACCCCGGCTTGATTCCTACCCCCTGCTTCTGTTTGAATGTGAGAGATGTCTGTGGCTTCCATGGATTTCCTTTGTAGTTTCAGCCCCCCATATTACAAAACAGCTCAGTCCTGAAGGACTCTTTCTGTAGGAACAGCTTTTGCTATAGTATAGCTGGACGAAAGAGGCAAGGAAAGCCCGTCTCTGCAAGCATAACACTGCTTGTGATTCTTTTGGTTCTACCCACTATCTTTTGTCAATAATGATTAAATACAGGAATGCTTTTTCTTATTAGAAAATACTGCTTTTTTGATAGCATATGATTTTATTCTCTGTTCTTTTGAGGGTCTGGATTCTTAGAATATGTGGCCCAAAAAGACCTTTTGTAATTTTTTAATTGAGCTTTTAGAGGTAATTTAGAAGGACCTAAGGAATTCTTAGCATTCAACGTTTTATTAAATACAAGTAATGCCAGGCCTAATTGCCTTATTTGTCACAAAACCCCTCCCCAAACCCTAAGTTTAGTAGCCTTGAAAAAAAATATTTTTATATTTCTGGATTGCAGAAGCACATATATGGGGAACATGGGTTGGAAGAAAGTACTATAGGTGTAAGTAGTTGATTGAAAACCTGTGTCCAAAAGAAGAGTGTGTATCATCATCAAACTGGACAACTATCAGCATTCTGCATGGGTTTGTGAGGTAGCTACTGCTGTTCAGTACATTTATTAACCACCTCGAGCAAGAAGAAGAAGAAGAGGAGATTGGATTTATACCCTGCCCTTCACTTGGAGTCTCAGAGTGGCTTACAATCTCCTTCCCTCGCCCTCTCCACAACAGACATCCTGTGAGGTAGGTGGGGCTGAGAGAGCTCTTTCGAGAGCTGCTCTTGAGAGAACAGCTCTGAAAAAACTTGTGACTAATCCAGGGTCACACCAGCAGCTACATGTGGAGGAGTGGGGAATCAAACCCGGTTCTCCAAGATTAGAGTCTGTGCTCTTAACCACTACACCAAACTCTGCTGGTCAGTGGATTTACCAAATTTGAGAGTGATGTAGAAGTAGAAGGACAGGCTCAGCTTCCAGTGATAGGTTGAAATTCAAAGCTGGAGGGCTTCAAAAGAAATAAAGCATAGCTGAAGGTACAAGTGGGAGAACAGTGTGTGGATCTAAACTGGGAACTGGCTAGACAGTATGACTTCAGTAAAAGATTGAGGCTATAGATTGAAGGTTAGTCTGTGTGGATAAAAGGCTAATGCCATTTTGGTTTATTAATAGTATCATAGTTCCATAATGCTGGATGTACATGCACTGTTCTATACAGTACTAGAATTCTGTGATTCCTCATTCACTGAGGTTAGGAGAAGCAATAGAATTACCAAAGCACCAGGAAAAGTTATAAACACCATTCAGAAATGACAAGCACTGTTTAAGAGGCTGTGGACTCTTCATACATGCAGAGTTGTCTTTGCATTTTGTTCTTTGTGTAAAAAGCTAGAGGCTTGAAGTATGCTCAAACATTTTTACAAAGTGCAAGTGCCAGGTTTCTGCAGTAGTTGCCACATTCTGTTCAGGGTGTGCAACAAAAATTGGTATTTTTCGGGTTCAGGTGTCCTTAACACAAAAAAAATCGGTATTTTTTCCAATATTCCCAAATTCCAATATCAATATGATATTGGGATTCGGGAAATAAATGGCTTGCTGGATTTATTTGGCTCCATTATACCGTATGGGAACCGTCCCCATAAAGTATAATGGAGAAGGGATTTAGTTCACTCACTGAGTCATGCTGCGGCATGACTCCAGACCACAAGTGAACTCAGAAGTTTACTTGCACACCCCATTCCACATGTATGGAGTTATAAAAGATTTCCAGTCTTTCCTAAGTCTTGGTGCAGTATGAATAAATTCTGAGTGAATAAAAAAGGTTAGCCCATGTTACTTCTGTGTTATAATGTTGTCCATGCTATTTTTGCCATCTTTAAATATGTGGGATTGCTTTCATTTTCCCAGCGATATGTATGATTGATTCAATAATATAGCATCCTTTGTGGTTCAAAGAGACCTGCTTAATGATAGCTGTATTTTTCTGTCTTCTGATGACATAAATTTATTATGTACATTTAAAGACTTCAGTCGTTTCCAATGAAATTACTAGACTGTATTTCTATTTGTTTACGGTTGTGTCAACATTTTTACTAAAGTATGCTTCATTAGCTTACTAACTTTAAATGTTTCCTTATAATCAGCTGTTGGTACAGAGTAATGATATGTAACTACTATTGCTAGTACAACTTCTTACAGTTTGGGGATCCAAACAGGTATATGGTGGGAAGACAGTAATATTATGAATGAATTTGGGTGTGCATGTGCGCCTGCCTTATTTAAGATCTCCTCATGCAATCCATCAGCAGATTTTTGTTTTGTAAGGGCCTGCAGGAACCAGAATCTGGTGGGGAGGGGGGGGAAGTACCTGGCAGGCCACAGTACATGCTTTCTGATTGAATTCAGGTTAGTGGATTACAGGTTGTGTGTCCTGCTATATATATGCTTTTTACAGTCAGTGATAAATATTATAATAAATATTAAACACAATTTTTCTTGTACTGAACATGAATCTACATCAGCGTATTTTATATATTTACATTCAATGTAATGCGTATTCCTGGCTTGAAATCAGGTTTGTTTCTCTCATACACTACAAGCTAACTTGTTGAAAACCAATGATTATTGATCACAGTGTGATTATGCAGGGGATTTGTGAAAGATCCAATCAGCAGACCACTGCTCATTACCTTTGCTGGAGGCTGCACAGCTCTTTCCAATAGTGTGTGTTGGGGGTGGCAGTATAGCTTATAGCAACTTGCCATGCCTATCTGCTGATGAGTAGGGCTTGGTGGTCTTTTTCTCCTCTTAAACCTCTGTAATGTTCAGCCCCAGGTTTTGCACACTTGGATGTTCCTTGCTGCCTCCTGGCTTCTGTTTATCAAATGGTCTGTCTCCATACCCATCTCTTTAAATTCATCTGTGCAGTTGTTCTGAAACTGAACTGCAGGGAGTGTTCTTCCTGTTCCCCAGTAATCGTTTGATGATTCATCTGGTTGGCTGCTGTTGGATATAGTAGGCTGGTCTAGATGGATCTTTTCGTGTGATCCATTAAGAAAGCTTGTTAAACTATGAGAATTCTATCTCTGCTCAGCCCCTTTTAGACTTTTTGTTTGTTTGGAGATCATGACTGGGAGCTAATGGATAACTCAGAATGCTGATAGACCTGGTGGTCCCTGGCCCAAAAGACATCTCTCTTCCCTTGACCAGTGCCAGGGCTTTTTCTGTCTTGGCCCCTGCCTGGTGGAACATGCTCCCCATTGAGATCAGAGCCCTGCGGGATCTTCTTCAATTCCACAGGGCCTGTAAGATGGATCTGTTCCACCAGGCCTTTGGCTGATGCAGTGGACATCCATGTATGGGCTTCCTGAGGTTCTTGTCACCCATCTAACAACTGCTGGCCATTATTTATGTGTCACCAATGGGCCAGGGGAACCTCTCGCAACCACTAATTTTCTGCTCTCAGGTTGTGATAACCATTTTAATGCATATGACGGTGTTTTAATATTTTAATTATTTTTGTACTGCTGAAATGTTATTACCCGCCCTGAGCTCGCCTCGTGGGAAGGGCAGGCTATCAAATATGAAGGAATAAATAAATAGTTAACTAACTTTTTCACATTCTCCCCTTATTTGGAATTCCCAGGTTTGATTCAACTATAGGCAGGTTGAGTTAAAATTGATTCTTTTTCTATAAAGTGAGGCTGCTTGTCTGTAAGGGGGAACTGTGGATTATAGCTGGGAACTGTTTTCCCCTACTCCTGGTCTTTTTTCTTCCTGCAGATCTCATAGAGTGGAGCTTCATTTAAGCTTTGAACTTGAACTTTGCAACCTTGGTTAGAGCTTTTATCAGTTAATTCACAAATATCAGAACTGGAGTTATAATGTCATTGTATTCATATTGGATTGGATTTATCTAGCTTTTTTGCTTGAACTTGCCCAGTTTTTCTCCTTACTACCATGCCTGTCCAACAAGGCTTTTGTCAATGTTGCATGATCCCCACAGTAGCCATTTTGGGTGGTCAGAGTGGTCCCCTTCTCCCCTTTTCACCAACAGAACATCTGGTTGGATCCAACCCTTTACAATTACAAAGGTTAACTAATATGAAGCTGTGGCATTCAGGTCAAGGAAACAGGACAGATACTGAAAGTTTCAACGTAAAATGTTAGTAAATGCACAGTATTGCTTTCAGTTTAGTTAGGCAGAATAATTCAGCACCTTATTTATTTTTAAAAATACATACTGAAAGAACATTGGAAAAGGCTTGCTTTTTATCCCTGTTCTTTAGAAGGTTCACACCAGAATACTTTCTGTATACAGCTGGTTGAAACTATAGTGCTATGTTTTGTTGCTATCTGTAGCATGACTTTTGAATTAGTCTTTGAACCTACTAAAATGAACATATTTTTTCACGTGTGATATGTTAATTCACGCACATGTTGCACACTTTAACATATTCTCCCTTTGATCTGCAGATAAGCCTTTGAAGAAAAGAAAACAAGATTCCTATCCGCAGGAGGCTGGAGGTGCTACTGGAGGAAACAAACCAGCTTCTCAGGAGACAGGTTCTGCGGGAAATGGGTCAAGGCCAGCCTTGATGGTTAGTATTGATCTTCAGCAAGCAGGACGGGCAGACTCTCAGGCAGCTGTAACTCAGGATTCAGACACCATCAAAAAGCCTGAAGAGATGAAGCAGTGTAATGATGGTTCTGTGTTTGTTTCCCAAGAGGATGTCGGAGTACTTAAACAAAAATCTGAGAACCATCCTGAAACCCCTAGGAAAAAAACAGATCCTGAAAGTTTAAAGGTGGAAATACAACCCATTGAGAACAAACCAACAGAAGTGCAGCAAAATGAGAGTAAGCGGATAGAAACGAAACATAGTGAAAGCAAACAGACAGAAATTAAACAGGAAAGCAAACACGAAAGTAGGCAAACGGATGTAAAACAAAATGAGGGCAAGCAAAATAATGGTAAACAGGATATAAGACAAAAACCTGAGACTCCCAAACAGAAAAATGAAGTGAGGCCAGATACTCCAAAACAGAAAAATGAAGGCAGACCAGAAACCCCAAAGCAGAGGAATGAAGGCAGGCCAGAAACCCCAAAACACAGGCATGAAAACAGGCGGGATTCTGGTAAATCCTCTTCAGAAAAGAAGCCTGATTTATCTAAACACAAAATGGACATGAAATCTGATCCTTCCAGGGTGAAATCTGAAAGGCCTGATATATTAAAACAGAGACCAGATGTACGCTCAGTTTCTGTCTCATTAAGGCGTGATCTTGATCACCTTAAACCAAAATCTGAGGACCGGAGTGAATCGGAGAGACATAGAGGAGATTCATCGAAGCTAAGAAGGCCTGAGTATTTGAGGTCTTCAAGTAAGACTGAGCACGACTCTAAACATGGCATTAAATCTGATAACTCAAAGGCTGAAAAACTAGAAAGAAAACACAGACATGAGTCTGGTGAGTCCCGGGACAGGTTGTCTTCTGGGGATCAGAGATCAAGACCTGACAGTCCTCGTATTAAACAGGAAAGTAAAAGTGATATTAGTAAATCAAGATCGGACAGACCAGGTTTCAGATCATCCAACAGTAAAGATGAACGAAGGACAGATGGTAATAAGAGCAAACTGGATAGTAATAAAGCACATACTGACAGCAAAGCAGAATTTCCCAGTTTTTTGTTGGGGGCAAGATCTGGGGCTTTGAAACACTTTATCATTCCAAAAATAAAGCGGGATAAAGATGGCAATGTCATGCATGATACAAGGAAATCGGAAATTAAGGGTGAACCAAAGGACAAAGTAGAGAAGATTGGGCTAGTGGAGGATCTAAATAAAGGAGCTAAACCAGTTGTTGTTCTGCAGAAGCTTTCTTTGGATGATGTACAAAAATTTATTAAGGACAGAGAAGACAAATCTAGGAGCTCTTGTTTCAAATCTAACAAGAACAAGTCATCCAGACCCAACAAAGGTAAGAGTTATTAAAACTTTTAATGGTTATGTTAGTATTTCAAGATCATAGATTGACCTCCTAATTTGGGTAGAAAAGAGGAAAACTTTTTTTGCAAACTTCAGTTATGATATAATGATTCTAGATTACGATTATAATGCTTAAAATAACTTGTACCTCACAAATGTATCAGGACATGACTGCATTAGAATGTTTGTGCTTTGTGCTACTTGTATCCGAAAAGATTCTGAACATGAATTCATTTCTCATGGTCACCATGGTAAATGTCCTTTCTCCTACTGGCAAGTGACAAGTCTCTGATCTTCAAAACTGAGAGGAACATGACAGGTCATCAACATAGTTTAACAGAGATCAGGCCTTGCCGTCTTTTGGAGCTTGGGAGATGGATTGTCCCTCACCTTGCACCATGCTTTGGAGGTGCTTTGTGTTTATCCACAGGGAAGATAGACTACAGGGATGATCCTGATCCCCCTATCAGTTTGGGACTTTGAAGGAGTCATGGGAGCCTGTTCTTGATCTCATGTACCTCGGAGATACTCTGAGTGCCTCTGAAGCTCAGTGCAAAATCATAGACACCACCCCTCCCCTGAATTGGTGGAGGGGCAGACTTGTGCCAACTACAAATCTTGAAAGGCTGTGTCTCAGTATAAGATGCATATGAAAAAAATATATGTACTTCATTTGTCAGTTGTCATTATATGTGGTTGAAATTGGTATTATGTACATAATTTCAAAGTGGGGTTTGCTTCAAGTCATCAGTTCAATTTTATGTTACACTGTATTACACTGTATGCCTAAACTGTGTATGTAATATATTTGAGTGTTTTGTGTTACTACAGAATAAGGCCTATGTACAGACAGCTGTGATTTGGGTATCTTAAAATGCTTGCACTCATCCAGTGATGTACCTGCTCTTTAAACTTCTAAGAACATAAGAGAAGCCAATGTTGGATCAGGCCAATGGCCCATCCAGTTCAGCACTCTGTTACACAGTGGCCAAAAATGCCAGGTGCCGTCAGGAGGTCCACCAGTGGGGCCAGGACACTAGAAGCTCTCCCACTGTTTGCCCCCCCCCCCCAAGCACCAAGAGTACAGTGCATCACTTGCCCCAGACTGTGGCTAATAGCCACTGATGGGCTTCTAGTTTCTGAAATTGGGAGACCAGCTCTGCCCTCATTGAAAATGATGGCCCCTTAAAGTTTGAAGGGCTAGTGCACCACAAACCAGCTGGGCCCTGATGTATCAACTGTTTAACCTTTAAACTTCATTGTTCTGAATAGAGGGATCTTCCCATTGGGAAAGAACGGCACTTTGAAGTTTAATGGGCCATTGCACTGTGGATCAGTTGTGGGCTGTGTGCACTGCTTCTCTTTCTGTCTCTGTCACACTCCTAAAATTCCATGAGATAGATTTGTGTTGCTCCTGATTTCAGCTATCCCTGAGCTCACCCTAAACAGCCAATTTTGGAATATCTGAAAGCGCACCTATGCTCGGGATGTCAGTTTATAAGGGTTTTTTAAAAAAGGATTTAAATTACATGCATTACAAATGTTTTTATCGTTTGTAAAAGTTCTCTCTCTCTCTCTCTCTCTCTCTCGCTCTCTCTCTCTGTGTGTGTGTGTGTACTTGTGTGTAGAGGGAGGGAGAGTGCAAACTAGCAGTGTGAGAAGAGAATGGCATACAAGATTTGGATCCAAACTAGTGTTTCTTTGGGTGCAGGGATCTCTGCCCATAATGTGTGTTTTTCTCTTCTTTCCCAGCCTGAAATGCCCTGAAAATTTTGTTTGTTACAGTACCCTGTCTCAGTGAAATGTGATGGGGGCATTTTGGGCTGCTTTGGGGGGGGGATCAGAAAGTTGTACTCTGCAGAAAACATTTGTGCTTTGCCAAAATGCTACTCTGTATCCAAGCTGATACTAGAAGGCAAGCCCATAGTATGAGCAAGCACATGTGCATCTGCAGAGTGGCATGTACAAGCTGCCAGTATGCAGGAGGGTGTATATGCTGACAGTGTTCAGTTTGCCATTTAAAAGGGAAGTTAGTGACATGATCAAGCACAATAGCAAAACATAGGTAGACTTTAGCAGCTGAGGCAGAGGGTGGAGAAAGTTAGGTACTTATTAGTACAGGACGAAAGTCACGATGGAGGGAGGCATACTGCTCCTCCTATCAGAGTTTTTTTGGGGGGAGGATTAGAGAGACCATTGCTCCATTTGAAAAAGAACTAGCTGCTGAAGATCTGATGTGGCCTGTCTGAATGAGAGCTGGTGTGAAGAAACCTTGGGAATGAAGACAGCTGCTGTTTAGATTATGGCCTTGACTGCTTGATGATATCAAAACATACAGTATATAGCCATGGTGACTTGGGTGTGCTGAGCTGGATTTGCTTCCCGTGATATTATGGAAGTGCTGCATACTGTAGCACGTTACTTGATGAGCCAGCCACTTTCTCAGATTCAATCCTTCAGAATGCCCAGTCCCAGCTTCACGTTACTTTCACTAGCCCTATCATCATTTTTGCCTGGAGATTGTGTAAAAGCTGGTAGAGTTTCGCCTGGAGAGTGTTTAAAAGCTGGTAGACATGTCCATATCTGGTAAAGGTCATGTACTGACCAAAGTGGTAGGGAGTGATGCCAACAAAATGGTGGCATTACTGGTCCTGGCAGCACTGCTGAGTCATCAAATTAGTAGTGGGACCTGCTGCTGCTGTTACGGTGCATGCCGTGTACTCTTGGCTTAGAAGTTACTATTTTGTGATGTTTAGTCTCTTAATTATGTGTCATTGTGAGGAATGGGGAATCTCTTTGGGAGGTACACTGGAGAGGAATTTAAAGGTGGTTATTGTCAGATAAGGGGCTGTGATGGCTCGGAGGTTAAGACTCTGAGCTGCAGACCAGAAGGTCAGTAGCTCGGCAGTTTGAGACCCTAGTGCCGCATGATGGAGGGAGCTCCTGTCTCTGACCTCAGCTCCTGCCAATCTAGCAGTTCAAAAGCAAGAAATTGCGAGTAGATAGGTGCCGCTTTGGTGGGAAGGTTTAGTCATGCCAGCCACAGCCTATCAAAAGGATAGGAGGGGGAGGATGGGAGGAAGGGTTGGAGGTGGGGTGGCTCTGTATGTCGGAGAGGGTATACAGTCCAGTAAGACTGAGAAGAGAATTAGATTAGCTTCTGGAAATGCTATGGGTCGAAATAGTGGGCCCAAAAGGAAGCTTAACACTGGAAGTTTGTTATCGCCCACCAGATCAAAAGATAGAGGAGGATTATAAAATGATGAATGAATTAAAGATAGCAGCTAGACGAAATAATTGTGTTGTACCATACATTGATTGGGTTAATATGTGTTCAAGTTGGGAAAAAGAGATTGAGTTTCTAGACATTCTCAATGACTCTGCTGTGGAGCAGATGGTCACAGAACCTACCAGGGGAGAGGCGATCCTGGATTTGGTCCTAAATAACGGCCAAGACCTGGTGAGAGATGTAAAAGTGATTGCACCGCTTGGGAACAGTGACCATAATGTTATTGAGTTCAACATTTGTATAAATAGGGAGTTTCCCAAAAAGACTAACACAACCACTTTTAACTTGAAAGGGGTAACTTCTCTGAAATGAGGGGACCAGTGTTCCCTCTAAGCTGAGTTAGTGTGAGCTAGCTCACAGTTTTTTAGCCTCTGGCTCACACTTTTTTGTCTTAGGAAGGATGGCTCCAGAGAAAACTAATTTCTGCAGTATCCAAATTGCTCGCTCACAACTTTAATGCCAGTAGCTCACAAAGTAGAATTTTTGCTCACAAGACTCCACAGCTTAGAGGGTGCATTGGAGGGGACATGTGAAGAGGAGACTGAAAGGAAAAGTAGAAAGGGTGAAAACCATTGGGGAAGCTTGGAGACTATTTAAAACTACAATCCTAGAAGCTCAGAAAAAATATATACCACAAGTTAGGAATGGCACAAATAGGTATAGAAAAAAGCCTGCATGGTTAACAAACAAAGTAATGGAAGCTGTAAAAGGTAAGAAGGATTCCTTTAAGTGGTGGAAAGCTAGTCTCAGTGATATTGATAAAAGGGAACACAGACTGTGGCAAATAAAATGCAAGTCTGTGATCAGGCAGGTAAAAAGGGGCTATGAGGAGCATATTACAAAAAACGAAAAGACCAACAATAAAACTTCCTTCAAATACATTAGAAGCAGGAAACCAGCCAGGGAGGCAATGGGGCCCTTGGATGACCAAGGGGTAAAAGGAGTACTGAAGGATGATAGGGAAATGGCTGAGAAGCTGATTGCATTTTTTGCCTCTGTCTTCACTGTGGAAGATGAGAAGTGCTTGCCCACTCCAGAACCGCTGTTTTCGGGAGGGGTGTTGAAAGACCTGAGTCAGATTGAGGTGACGAGAGAGGAGGTCCTACAACTGATAGACAACTTAAAAACTGATAAATCACCAGGCCAGTATGGCATACATCCAAGAGTTCTGAAAGAACTCAAATGTGAACTTGTGAATCTCCTGACAAAAATATGTAATCTTTCATTAAAATCTGCCTCCATTCCTGAGGACTGGAAGGTAGCTAATGTCACCCCCATCTTTAAAAAGGGTTTCAGAGGAGATATGGGAAATTACAGGCCAGTCAGTCTGACGTCAATACCAGGTAAATTGGTGGAAACCATTATTAAGAAGAGAATTAGTAGGCTCATTGATGAACAAAAACTACTGAGGAAGACTCAGCATGGATTCTGTAACGGGAGATTTTGTCTCACCTGTTAGTGTTCTTTGAGGGGGTGAACAAACATGTGGACAAGGGGGACCCAATAGATGTTGTTTACTTTGATTTCCAGAAAGTTTTTGATAAAGTTCCTCATTAAAGGCTCCTAAGTAAGCTCAATAGTCATTAAAAGGACAAGTCCTCTTGTGGATCAAAAACTGGCTAATTAATAGAAAACAGAGAGTGAGTATAAATGGGCAATTTTCACAGTGGAGGATGGTAAGCAGTGGGGTACCGCAGGGATCAGTACTGGGTCTGATGCTTTTTAACTTGTTCATTAATGATTTCGAGTTGGGAGTAAGCAGTGACATGGCTAAATTTGCGGATGACATGAAGTTGTTCAGGGTGGTGAGAACCAGGGAGGATTGTGAGGCACTCCAAAGGGATCTGTCGAGGATAGGTGAGTGGGCGTCAACGTGGCAAATGGGGGTTCAGTGTGGCCAAGTGCAAAGTGATGCACATTGGGGCCAAAAAACCTAACTATAAATACACATTGATGGGGTCCGAACTGGCACAGACTGACCAAGAGAGAGATCTTGGAGTTGTAGTAGATAACTCAATGAAAATGTCAAGAATGTGTGCAACTGCAATAAAAAAGGAGAACGCTATGCTTGGGATTATTAGGAAGGGAACTGAAAATAAATCAGCCAGTATCATACTGCCCCTGTGTAAATCGATGGTGCGACCTCATTTGGAACACTGTGTGCAATTCTGGTTACCACACCTCAGAAAGGATACTATAGCACTGGAAAAAGTGCAGAAAGGGGCAACTAGAATGATAAAAGGGCTGGAACACTTTCCCTATGAAGAAAAGATAAAGTGTTTGGGACTCTTTAGCTTGGAGAAACGTTGACTGAGGGGTGACAGGATAGAGGTTTACAAGATTATGCATGGGACAGAGCAGGTAGATAAAGAAGTACTTTTCTCCCTTTCTCACAATACAAGAACTTGTGGTCACTCAATGAAATTGCTGAGCAGTCAGGCTAGAATGGATAAAAGGACATACTTCTTCACCCAAAGATTAACATATGGAATTCACTGCCTCAGGAGGTGGTGGCAGCTACAAGCATGGACGGCTTCAAGAGGGAATTGGATAAACACATGGAGCCAGAGGTCCATCAGTGGCTATCAGCCACAAGGTATAGATAGGGACTCTGGGGCAAGTGATGCTCTGTATTCTTGGTGCTTGGGGGGAGGCAACAGTGGGAGGGCTTCTAGTGCCACACTGGTGACTTCCTGATGGCACTTGGTATTTTTGGCCACTGTGTGACAGACTGGATGGGCTATTGGCCTGACCCAGCATCGGCTTCTCTTATGTTCTTATGTCATTTTTAAAGTAAAAGTGAAGTACAGGAGGCACACTGACCCCCCATATAAAGGTTTCTTCAGGGGTTATGATGATTCTTTCATACCTAACTTCAGTCTCAAGCTGGCTCTACTGGCTGGAAAGTTTTTAAGTTGATTTTTTGCTTGGTTGTTTGCCTCCTCTGACCAATATTTTTATGGACTAGTACATGTTTCATTTTTACTTGCAAAGCTGTGTTGGTGGGAGAGTCCAAGCAGCACTGCTGAGCACAGATACCATTTCCACAACTGGAATGGGACGTTCTGTCCTGTCACTACAGAATTTTCTTGCTGGCTTCCAGCTTGGAGAATGGAATGAAATGTAGCAGCCTGCCTGTCATAATAAATTGGGCAAAAGCAGAATTTTTGAATCAGCAAATATTGCCTTGTGTTTAGAGTGTTGCATTACAACTGGGGGAGATCTGAGGCTTACTGGACTAATCTCTCTCCCATCCTTATCTACCCCACTGACTAATGCCCTTAGTTCCAGTGAAGAGAGATACAAGAAAATTAAGATACAGGTGGATATATGGATCATGTACTGCTGGTTGGGCAAAAAACGGGGGTGGGGGGTGGGGAGACTGTCACATCTTGGAAATATATTTTAATCCTCTGAAGAAGTTTTGTGTGTGCCACTTCAGTTTGTGAAAGGTCACATCTTGGTTCAATTTACCTGGTTTTCATGTTGTTGTTGTTGTTTCTCTAGACTTCTCATTGTTAAGATTCAATTAAACTGTATCAAAGTATACAAAGTGTTTAAATTGCTCATCATGCGCTGTCACCAGAAGGCATTCTGATGTTCTAATAGATTCTGTCATTTCTTCAGAAATGTACCATTTGGTCTGTTCAAAGTTATTCACTTTGTCATCTATCTTGGTTTGGTGTACTTGGTGGAGTAGAAATTCTGAACAATATCTGTCCAAATTGTACTCTTGTAGAGATCAGGCACATTATCCTTTTTAAACAACTGGAGATCAGGCTGGAGATCAATCTGTCTTTCCTCTGTGAAATACAGTGCATATGGGTTGAATTATTCCATTATTTATTCTTATGATCTAAATATATATCAACAACCTAGAAAGGTGAACTTTGAACAGACCTAGGAACTTCTTGTAACCTTCATTTTTATGTTTCTCTTCTTTTCTTGGTTTTGAAGAGATTGTTACTTAACCAGTTTTCGCATCTGTGGTCTTGGTGATCCTTTTCTCAGTTGAATGCCTTGCAGGGCAGTGGGATGGCATAAATGTGTAACTTTTAATCTAATTCGTTTAAAAATGTATTTGTTTTTCAAAACGCAATGTCAGAATGTCACTGTGTGTTTAATGATCCATAAAATACAAGCTGTGTGGCTAATTTGTAAATATGCTAATCATTTCAATCTGTGTGGATTTGAAAAATGGGTGCAATGGAAGTAATTCTATAGAAAAACGTTTATTGTGTAATAACTGATGCTAGAATTGTAGATATTCCTGTATTTAAATTACTGTGCTTTATTCCTTGGTCTCAAAAAAGAGTTTGAAAAATGAGGCATCTCTTTTTACTGATAAATGTGAAGAGTCAGTAATTTATGCAGAAAATCAGTACAGTACTAAAGTCATATAATGTTTATTTAAATAGTTCTTAAACTTCAATTAATAAATGGAGCCAAGTCTTGGAAAAAACAAATCTGAGACTAGAAACATTTCTTATCTCATGACAGATACAATATGCATATATGACCACTTTGCAAATAGGTGGCCGTGTGCATCAGGTAATCACAGAGGTAGAGAAAAAGCTCCGACAAGCTCCAGACAAGGAGTATTCTGCTTCTCTTATGTGTTATTAGAAAGGGGATGGGTAATCCTTCACTTGATTGAAGCGTCAGATCAAAATTTGAGTCCAGTGGCACCTTTAAGACCAACATATTCTGAAGAAGCATGCATGCACACAAAAGCTTATACCCAGAATAAAAATGTGTTGGTCTTAAAGGTGCCACAGGCCTCAAACTGTGGTCTGCTGCTTCAGACCAACACAGCTACCCACCTGAATCTATCTTGATTGTTGCTTGTTCAGCTGAAGTTTCTCATGTGTGGAAAAACTGTCTTGTATACACAGTGATGTATTTCAACTTACGATGTATAAATGTAACCTTTGAAGTATACAGATTGGTGAGAGAGCCTCAAATAATTTGTTCTGCATGGTGGCAAAAGGATGATGCCACTTAATTGTGACTGTGAAACTGTGTTCTTGTTTGTACCATTATAAAAGTTGCTTGTTGGAAGATGCAAAAGACTTGCTTTCTATTGAAGGCAGAGAGTATGAATCTTGTCAAAATAACAGAAATCTGTAAAAGGGATAATGCCTTCAAACTTGGCTCCATCTGCTGGCAAACACACAAAATTATTTTGCATATGTACCAAATGAAGACTTGGGAAGCTATTGGGGGAAATACTGGTTTTTGTACTTATGAAGATCAACTGAAGCAAGCATCTTCTGGATTAGGGTGTTCAATTGTTGTTTTTTTTAATAGAAAGCTGCTTTTATATTGTGTCCTTTTTGCAGCTGATTTTTTCCCTTTCAAATGACAACTTGGGTTAAAGTAGAATGGTCTGGTTTTTATATTTTGTAAACCATCTTGTGTGTGAAAAGTAGGATAAAAATGTTAAATTCATGTCTGCATTATATTGGTATGTCCTTAGGTTTATATTCACGTACAGTTTACTCTTCATTGGTAGGCAGCATAGATCAGTCAGTGTTAAAGGAATTACCTCCTGAACTGCTAGCAGAAATTGAATCTACCATGCCTCTTTGCGAACGAGTGAAAATGAACAAACGTAAACGTAGCACTGTAAACGAGAAACCAAAATATGCTGAAATCAGTTCTGATGAAGACAATGACAGTGAAGAGGCTTTTGAAAGTGAGTAGCATAAATGTTTCTCATTTTGATAATGGTAATGCATTACTCTTGATGATGTGTGTACGGTGCCTCCCTGGCAATACAACCAAAAATGGGACGAGTTCTCCTGGGTAAGGCTAGAATTGCCTGTTGCAGTGCTATAAGATAAAAATGCATGTCTCCAGTGTTCCAGTAATTTGGAAGGGATGTGGCTCCTCAGAAGCCTTCACGGCATGGCTCAGTAAAGAGCTGCTTTGCGACTAGCTTGCAACAGAGCACTGCTGGAGGGAGCGCAGCAAGGCAGAAGCCAAATAACTTCAGTTTGTGATGTCCTCGGAACAGCTAGGGCTTGAGGCAGAGTTTTCCCTGTCTTTTCCTCCTTTCAGGCCTGATGTGTCCTTTGTGCATGGTTTTGAAAGCTTTCATACATGTATAAGACACTTTTAGGGTAAGAGCAAAGTAAAGTTCTTAACCCAGCAGTAGGCTGATATAAGGGGTGCTGGTAGTGAAACTTCACCCAGAAAAAAAATTTCTGTGTTCCTTCTGAGTCACTGTCCCGTTCTGAAGCCAGGTGTCTCAGATTTTTGTCTTGGTTGTGAGGCAGATCCAACAAGATGAGGGATGGTATTCAAGGCATGGCTGCTGAGGGAGGAGGGGAGCTGTCCAGTCAGAGAAAACAGGTTCATGGCAAGATGCTGAAGCAACAGAGGAGCTGTCCAGCTAGGTAATGATAGCTGAGCAGACACAACAGGAACAGCTGTAGAGAGAGGCTACTTCAGCAGCCAAAGCAAAACAATTGAAGAGGCTCTGGTTCCACCTCTTCCTGATGCATTAGTGAGGTACATCCTGGCCGTTCTAAACTCTGGTCTTCTCCGACATAAGTCCGCTGGCCTTGAGCAAGCACTTTGCCTTCTGGTATAGACTTCATCTTGGACCCAGTCCCTTCTCTTTTCCTGGGGCATAAGCAGTGATTTCAGGGGATCCAGAGCTTGGGAGTGAGCTGTGTCATGTTGGAAGTCGTTCTGGATTCTAATGTTGAACAGGATCCATTGGTACCACCTTCCCAAGTGCGTTGTTTGGAGGATATATTAAGTGCTTTACAAATGGATGAATAAAGCACATACTCAGAATGGCCTACAATTAAAAACATACCAGAAACAAATGAATGGTAGATGGAATATTGGATATGAATAATGGAGAACAAGAGGTTTGGTCTATAAAATGTACTTTTCCTGATAGATAAATGTATTCTTATGGTTATTCTTGCTTGATAAATAAGCAATTGATGAGAATCAGGACTGAGAAAGAGGCATGAGAGGGAAAATAGCTACAAATGGTCTTTGTTAATTTTATTAAGTATAAATTTATTATGTCCAGGAGAAGAAAGAGGATGGAGAAGTTTGATGGGAAACCAGAATTTTTAGGTTTATAATGAGTGGATCAAATGAATGAGGAGCCCTGATTGGAACGTATCAAGGAGAAAAGAGAGGCCCTGACTTTTAAAAGCTTGGAATGTAAACCAAAAAGTAAACTGAAAGTTTAAAGTGAATACAAAATGAGATTGGGAGCCAGTGGTAAGGACAGTAGAGAAGAGGTAACATGCTCATTACTGTGACAGAGATAAATTTTGCAAGGAGTGGAATTCCTGTACAGAAGTGTTGGACACATATCTGATGAATGTGTGCATAGTTGAGCTGCTGTTACATTTTAATTTTAAAAAAGGATTCCTATTTAAGCAATAGTGGGAACTTCCTCAAGCAAAAATAGCAAGTGAGGTCAGACTGTGAGCATGTTTGTAACTACTTGGACTATGGCCCAAAGGTTGTGAGAGTAAAGCCAGAAAGCAAATTGCTGCAATACAGAGAAATGCTGCTTTGGGTATGAAATGCTTCCTTCCCCCCACCTAAGCACAGTTGCTGTGCTGTGGTTGCTTGTGCTGTGAGGCAGATGTGGCTACAGATAGACAGCTAACAAGTAGGTGGAGGATTTCTATTTTACTTCCCTTCTCTTTCTAGAACCCCTCTTACATCTCCTTCTGGTCCTTTGGCGGAATAGGCTACATTCAGACATTGTATGTAACCACACCTAAGGGGGGGGGGGAATGTGCTCACACCCAGCTTGTTGCTAGGCTTGCATGTGCTTCTCCCCCTCCCATTCACTCTTGTGTGGAGAATTATGGCTATACAGTAGCACCAGTTGTTCATGATGTACCACTCTAGGTTCATGGATTTACCAAAGTTCATCCCTCCCCCAGCCCACTAACCAGGATTCTAATATAGATAGAATCAGCTTTAGGATACTGGGCTTGAGTGAGGGACGAACTTCGGTTAATCCATGTATGTAAGCTCACATGTCACAAGTAACTTTATAGTTTTAATATTAGTCTAACCACAACATGGAGGGGGCCAAGGTACATGTACAAGCCCAGCAGCAAGCAACTTCCTACATATTTTTCCTTAACATGTTTACTGTATGTGTGATGTCTTATAGCCCTACTGTTAGGCATATACTAGGACTACATTTCCCAGAGAAAACTAAGGTAATTGAAGGACTGGGGTGGGGTTTGTTTGGCCTTGCTGCCTTCTGGAGCTAGAGCACAAAGACAATAAATGTGTTTAAGTACTAATTGAGTGAAAAATTTTCAATCATTTTGCATACTTCTAAAAGCCTTTAGTAGGCGTTAGCAAATTCTACCTTTTATGCATTTGCCCTCAAAGTGCCAAGGTACCAGTTGAAGCGTGTATTCTATGTTTTTCATAGCTCACAATGTGTGGAGCTACTTTGAAACTAGATATAGCTCTCATAATACTCCGTTTGCCTCCTAGCTTCCCGTAAAAGGCATAAGAAAGACAGAAATGAGGATAAAGCTTGGGAATATGAAGAGCATGACAGACGAGGTTCTGGGGATCATAGAAGGAGTAGCCATTATCACGAAGGAAGGAGGAGCTCTGGAAGCAGTCGATATCGCAATCGCAGTCCAGAGGACTCAGACATGGATGACTATTCCCCTCCTCCTAGCCTCAGCGAAGGTGATCGTCACTTCTCTCACTAGTGTTCTTAATCTCAGTTTTGTCTAAAAGTGTACCTAAAACCCGGTCCATTCTTATGTAATACAGATACATCAGGCCTGGCTAGTGTGAAAAAGGTTTTTAAATGTTGTTGCATGGTTAAAACATGGGGTCGCAGAGAAAATAATTTTTCAGCAGATTATTTCATGCTATACCTTTTTGTTATTTAAGTGGCTAGAAAAATGAAGAAGAGAGAAAAACAAAAGAAGAGGAAAGCTTATGAGCCAAAGCTAACACCAGAAGGTAAGTGCTGTTGCTTTTAATGCTCTTGCCATAAATTGTTTATTATGTGTTATACATAAATCGAGCACATTACATTTTTCTGTGTTTTTTTAAAATCAGAAATGATGGATTCTTCTACATTTAAGAGGTTCACCGCTTCAGTAGAAAATATTTTGGACAACTTAGAAGACATGGATTTTACTGCGTTTGGTAAAAATAGTCTTTATGCATTTCCTTCAATGTCATAAATGCTCATATACTTTAAATCTATTAGTGTGATGCATTGTTTTCTATTGTAGCCTGCTGTGCATGTCTTTACATTTTTTTTGCATCCTTAGGCTCTGGCTCTTAGAAGGTTTTCCCTTTTCCTTTAATGATTAATGACCTTGAGCCCTAGAAAGAATCATAATTGTTACAAGTAGATAAGTGATTCCATTTGAGAGTGAATGGGACAGTTGAGTTGCCTTTGTGAGAGACCAGACCAGCCTGGTACGGTGTGTTAGCAAAAGACTGTACCATGTATTGAGAGTTATTTACAATTTCTGGCAAGTAACAACAATCCCTGCTGCAATCAGACACTGATGTATTTTTTATTAGTGGGTGTATGGAAGTAAGTACATGGCAGGACATTTTCAAGGGTTAACGCTAAATGACTGTTGAACTCTGCATTTTTGCATCAAACGACAATATCTTTTGCACAATCTGTTTTTAAAGAGCATATTGCACCTGATTGTAATACACTTACATAATATACTTAAAATGCAAATAGAAATATTTTCAGAACTGATAGGAATAGAAGTAATTGAAAAGGATCACTAGGTCATACATTCTCAGCTATGGTTGTAGAGACTTGATATAGGAGACTGTCATCTTCCGTCCTTCCCACATTCTGTCCCTTAGGGCTGTTTTCTTATAGTGCACATTTCCTCAACTTTGTGCTCTTGAGAAGACTTGTGTATCTCCCCCCCCCCCCTACCTGCTAACTTAAATGCTATCTTAGCTTTTGAGACTTTAAAGTCATTTTAAGGATAGAATCTTTTGGAGAGGTTGCAATCCCTGGATGACTGCTCTAGATTACTTCTGGTTTTGTTGCCTATATTTTTATTTGAGGTATAGTGTGATTATTGTAGATTTAAGTAGTTTGTGGGCTGCTGCTACTATCAGTTAAATGTGGAGAGAAATAAGAGTTCTAGACTGCATCACTGCAGGTTTACTGATGCTTATTCTTGAAAATCGTGGCTATATATATTGCAGCTACATTTCAAAGAAAATATTTTTTCTCCCTTTAGGTGATGATGATGAAATGCCTCAAGAGTTACTACTGGGAAAACATCAACTTAGTGAACTGGGCAGTGAATCTGCCAAAATCAAAGCAATGGGCATTATGGACAGGGTAGGTTATTGATGCCTTTAAAATGAAGACTGTAACACAGGATTGTTCAAAAGGGCAAATGTGTTAGGTTTCAAGAAGTTGTGGGCCTTCAAAAGGCCTTGGATCTTGAAGGGACTTGATATAGCCAAAAAGGGCAAATATATACACCATCAGTGTAGACATTTCTCCTTCTTGTGTGTCATTTAGTAGTCCTTCTGTCTACATTTGTTTTCCTATCAAGTCACAGCTGACTTATGGCAATGCCTTGTGGGGTTTTCAGGGCAAAAGACGTTCAGAGGTGGTTTGCCAGGGCCCGCCACTGCATAGTGACCCTGGTATTTCTTGGTAGTCTCCCATCCAAGGCGGAAGCTGCTTAGCTTCCGAGATTCGATGAGATGGGACTAGCCTGGGCTACACAGGTCAGGGCTTCTGGCAACTAGGAAGCAGACTTTTCAAAGAAAATTCCTAATTTGGATTCTAATGTGGACCATAACCCAGGAGGCATTTCCTTTGAAGCAGCTTCCTCTGTGCTTTGGAAACAGATTGTGAATTTGAGGCAAAGCTTGTATGAGCATCAGTTTTAATTCTACACCAAACCTGTAAAAATTGTCTTATCCATTTGGATGAATTGTTTTCTCTTTAGCTTTCAACGGAAAAAACAGTGAAAGTTTTAAACATTTTGGAGAAGAATATTCAAGATGGCGCAAAGCTTTCCACTCTGCTCAATCATGTGAGTTGTTAAAATTAGTTATTTTAATTTACTGATTTTAGATTTCTGCCTGTTGGAAACATCACAGATATTTCTATGTTGCTATAGAGTGGATGTAGCTGTAGATGAGTTCAGCACATTTCAAGTGAATAGTTATTAGTTTTTAATAGTATATTATAATTGAAGTACATCCGAGCCTTGCTTTAATTTATGAAATAATGAAGGCCACTAGAGCATGCCTATACTCTATATCACTAAGCTGGGAAGTGTAATAATAGTTTGGCTATGAATAAATGTCTTTCAGTCTTTTGCTGAGGAACTAGTTCTGTTTGGATGTTTTTGGTGTCGTTCGTTTTCTTGAAAATAAGCTCACTGTTTCCATCGTGTGGCTGTTCATAGTAACTGAATTCATGGTCTGCATAGCTGAATGAGATGAGCAGAAATTCTCTGCAGTAGTTAACAATAGTTAAAACTTGTTAAAGAAAGAACAGTAGAAGTCTAAATTTACCACCCCACAGCTTCATTTAAGGGAAGTTGCACAAGTGGTCCAGCCTATTCACACTAATGGACAGTAGCACATTTTCAGCTCATTATGCATATGTAAAAGGAAACTCACCGTTTTGTCATGTAAGGTTGCTTGGAGCTACATTTCAGTTTTAGTAATTGTTTACCTTCATACTTCACAACTTTTGCCTATTTTACTCTGCAGCATGACCTTTTTCACCCCATCGTAGAATTAGTTACAGAGAAAGGCAGCTTGCAAAACACAAATTTGCCTAAAGCTTTTGACTAATCAAGATATGAGCTAGAAGACCTGGCCTCTCTTTAAACTCCTTTAGGCTGATCGGCCAGATGCACATTCTGTCAAAAATTGCGAACTAGGAAGTTTGTAGTCAAGGTCCATTAGTGAATCAGGGAGGAAGGAACAAAGGGAGTGTGAGAGCAAAGCATTGTTTGTGTCTAGTTGCATTTGGTTGGAGCTTGGTGAGAAATCTGAATGCCGTCTGCGTCTGCGTTTGGGTAGTACCAGTGAAGTTGGTTCAACATGTTAGCTGTCTCCTGTGCCAAAAACTGAGCCTGTCACAGAGAAAGATGGCACTCTTAACAGGTTAATCGGATTTGTAGCAGATTTGCTCACTGAAAATGAATTCCCAGCATGTATTTACGTTACACTGAGATGAATGCTTTACTAATTAAGATGTGTGCAACTCAGATAACTTCAAGGCCACCTTTACTGCATCATTATATTAACTACAGAAAAGCATTTGTATTAGGTTTAAGTAAGGAGAGATCCACATTCCCCCCATTCTGTGTACTGCATAGTCTTGTCTCTTCTTCATCTCTCTTTCTGCGCTACCATAGGTTTTTCTGAGACTATCTCTGTTAACCCCTCTATCTGCACCTTACAGCACATGTTTGCTTGTTTGTGCTATTTATTTATTTATTCATATGATTTATATCTCGCCCTCCCCACCAAGGCAGGCTCAGGGCGGCTCTGCCCTGACCACTTTTCTCCTCCCTTCTTTTGCATCTATCTCACCTTTCTCACTGCACTTCACAGTACTTGCTATTATCGCTGCACATTTGTTACCTCCGTTTTTCTGCTCTTTAAGTGTTGAATGTATGTTAACAGAAATATTGGCTACCAAAAAAAAAAAGCCCACCCAGATCTGAAATCATCCCACCCTTGTCCTAGAGCCTACAGTATTTATTTTAAAACTTTCCTTGCTTAACCACCATGAAGGGAGCATAGTCCACCAGAGGGATCTCTGCCAATTTCTTTCTCTAACGTCATAGTAGAGCCTGTGTACTCAAACCCTTGCTGGGTGCAGTTTGCCCTTCCCTTGACCCTTTCAAGTGGTTTTTAAAGGGAAGGAAGGGACTGTAGTGGAGGGAAGATTGGGAAAAAAAACTCTTCTGCACCCACCTGTTGCCTTAAAAGCTTATTGTCCGCTGACTCATTCCGAAGAACCATCGAATTAAAAAAAAAAGTAAATCTTGCCAGCTGTAGATATTTAAAGAGCAAGGTGTCACTCTTCTGCCAGGTATAATTGTCAACAAAGCTATCTGCTTGCATCTTCATGGGCCTACCGTCATCTCCCATCTTTTAAAGAGGGAGTTTGGTCCGCCACTCAGTCACTGCACCTAGGTTTGTATGCAGACTTAACTGTGATTCACTTGGGGTTTCTTCTGCTGGACTCCTAGCATAGTGTCCAGTTGACCTCTTCACTCTCAACATGGCTCTCCTACTGGTCATCACCATTGTAGTCTAATGTCCTGGTGGGATTTGAGGCTGAGCCAGCTATAATTGCCTTTCAGGTAGACCAAGTTCTGTACATGCCACTGCCATTAACTGTCCGTGTGTCACCTACTTGTGTGAATGTAGAGATCACTTTGGGATATGGTTGCTAGCCAGGCATAAAAGAAAGCCCTGTCCTGGTCTTTCTAAGTGTCTTTAACAGCTTGATCTGCAGAACTGAAGTGGCCTACAGGTAGACACTGTCACTTGCTAATGTTGGCATCACAAGCTGCTGCTAAAGGCACAAGGGCAGGGCCACTAAAACAAAAATTGGCAGCCCAACTTTAATTGGATTTGTCTGAAAAATAATGGCATGTGATGAAAAGGAGCATAGAAAGGTTATCCTGGCTTTTATCTGGGTAGTGAAGTCTTTTAAAATAACTATGGAAACAATGTTTTATTCAAGCAATATGCGTTTTCATGCTCTGTTATCCAGAAATTTACTTTCTTGTGTTTTCTGTGAATATATTTAAGTGTATTCTTAGTCAGCACTTTGAATTTCTCTGCAGAATGACACTGAAGATGAGGAAAGATTGTGGAGAGACTTGATTATGGAGAGAGTCACAAAATCTGCAGATGCCTGCCTTACCGCGATCAACATCATGACATCTCCCAATATGCCCAAAGCTGTTTATATTGAAGATGTAATAGAAAGAGTTATTCAGTACACTAAATTTCACTTGCAAAACACTCTGTATCCTCAGTATGATCCTGTTTATCGGTTGGATCCTCATGGTGGTTAGTATGAAAATTATTAGATATATTGTTACCTTCTGTGACTGACTGTGTACAATTACAGAAAAGTTATTACAGACAGATCCTATATATCCCCCCTCCCACTACCAAAGGCCCCTTAGCTTGGCATCAACCTACCCATCCCACCTCTGTGTATGTTCCTTATGCCAGACTTTCTTAGTCCTCAATGCAAAAAGGATTAAGAAGGCAATGTAAATATAATCAGCTCTACTGTACTTGGTTATAAATAAAAAATAGTTGAATTTAAAATACATGTATATAAGTGGTCACAGTTACATGATGTGCTAGAGAACAAGCAGTGTAAGCATTGGGATTGTGCTGTTTATTATCCCTGGCTTCCTGTTGCCAACAGCAGCAGCATGGGAAGAAAGCCCATCATGGTTGCAGACTACTTCCTGTGATAGTATCACCACTTCACACCACTCCACAAAGGCTAGTGATGCTTGCAATGGAAGAAATCATATCATGAAGTCTGCCCACATGAACTCATGAGCTGCCCTTTACTGCATCAGAACATTGATCTGTCAAAATTAGCACTGTCTCCTCTATCTGACTATGGCTCTCCAGGGTCTCAGGTGGAAGTCTTTTGCATTACCTACAGCATAAAAATTGTAGCTGGAAATATTGGGAATGCAATCTGGAACCTTCTGCATACCATACAGATTGCATCCACTGCGCCCCGGCTGCTCCTCACGTCATTTCTGTAAACATTACCAGAATAACTGTACCACAATGATTAGGCCCTTTATGTCCTTTCAACTACCAATCCATCTGCATGTTGTTATTCCCAAGTTTCCACTGCATTCATTTTCTGACCCTCCAGTCATGCTAGCACAAGTCATACATCACTGGCACAGTGGCCAAAGTTTTTAGTTAATTTATGATAGCCAGTTCTTGAAAATCACCTGACATCTTTGTGTCCGCCCCCCCCCCCCCAAGGTTACTGGCCATCATAACCTATATTTTTGTTTTCTTTGACCTTTTGACAGCATCTTTTCCTGTATATTGTCCCAACTTTCCGATCTCCCCTTTGTCTTTTTCATGGCTGCTTTTACTGCAGTCTAGAGTTTTGTGCTTGTGAAGACATTGCCAGCGGTGATAAGTGTCAACTCCTCAGGTTCACAGTACATGTGCCCTGTCAGTTCTGACAAGGGGGGAACCTTGTTTTGAGCAGTAATACCTATAGATTGTGTGGGAGCCTGGGGTCTTTTGGTGGAGTACTACATATAACGCTATAAAAGAATCGTAAGAACGTAAGAAGAGCCCTTCTGAATCAGACCAGTGGTCCATCTAGTTCAGCATCCGGTCTCACACAGTGGCTAACCAGTTCCTCTGGAGGGCCAACAATAGAACATAGAGGCTGAGGCCTTCCCCTGATGTTGCCTCTTGACACTGGGATTCAGAGGATCAGTGTCTCTGAATGTGGAGGTTCCCCTCAGTCACCATGGCTAGTAGCCATTGATGGGATTAGATTATCCTCCATGAATCTATCTAATCCCCTTTTAAAGCTGTTTATTTCTGTGGCCATCACTACATCCTGTGGCAGCGAATTCCACATATAAAGTAGTATTTCCTTTTGTCCATCCTGAACCCACTGCCTATCAGCTTCATTGGATGCCCTCGAGTTCTAGTATTTTGGGAGCGGGAGAAAAAATTATCTTAGTAATAACTCTCTCCATATTTTAATGCCTATTTTAGATGTATTTTAGACCTTCCCTTCATACCAGGTGATTGGTTAATGTGTTCTTTTTTGTGTTTTTATATTCACTTTTTTGACAACTTGCATATTTTATGATGTCTATGTATGTGAAGTTCTAAAAAAATAACTTTGTTTAAAACTTTCTAGGTGGTGTGCTAAGCTCAAAAGCAAAACGTGCCAAGTGTTCCACCCACAAACAGAGAGTAATAGTGATGCTGTACAACAAAGTCTGTGATATTGTTAGCAGTTTGGCTGAACTGTTGGAGATCCAGCTTCTTACTGACACCACTATTCTTCAAGTATGTTCAGTCAGTTCATTGGATCTTGGTAGTATTTCAATGTGTTTCTAAAGCTGTCATCTGGTGGCTAGAACAGTGTTTCCTATAGTGAATAATTCATAACTTTTACCTACAAGAGATTTTAAAAGCTTATTCTTCATGAAATACAGCATGGAAGATACACATAATTCCAAATATCAGTAACTGCAAGTTGGTTACAGAGTAGTCAATTGTTCCATTTTAAACCCAGTGGAGTCAGTGGGCTTAGACTGGAGTTAACTCCCAGTTTTGCATGGCATCCAACTTGCTTTCCACATATGTGGTCTTCTGAACATCTGTAACTTTTCAGCATTAATCTTCTTTTAAAAAATTGCACATTGTTGTTTAAGAATGTTTTGACATCACCTCATTAATTTGTGTTGTATCTCAGGCCCATAGCTAGGAATTTATAAGTCAGGGGGCATTTAAATTTCTTGGGGGACACTTGGCACTTGCTAATTTAAATAATTTTATTATTCAAAGGTGGGAGGCAGAGCTGAGCCCTGCAGATAAAAAGGGGAGAGGGAAGGAATGGAAGCAAAATCATGGGCTCCGAAGCCAAGGGAGGGATTGGGCAGTGCGGCACTTGCTTTGCTGGCTTGGGAATTGGAGGGCTGAAGGCATTTGGGGCTTGCCTTGCTGGCCAGCAAGAAGCAAACCAGAGCAGTGGTGTGGATTGGAGGTGGGGCTTGCCTTGCTGGCCAGTGAGAGGTGAGAGAGAGCAGAGCTGCAGCATGGGTTAATCCAACCCATGGTGCTTGACTTACCAGCTGCAGCATGGGATAATCCAACCCATGTTGCTTGACTTGCCAAACAGAGGGAAGAGAGAGCAGCAGCAGAAGCATGAGATTGGAGGCAGGGCTTGCCTTGCCGGCTGATGAAAACCAAAAGAGAGAGCAGCATTGGATTGGAAGGCGGAGGATGTGGGGCTTGCCTTGCAGAGAGAGAGGCATGGGATTCGAGGGTGGAGGGCACGGGGTTTGCCTTGCCGAGAGAGAGTGGCAGGCAAGAGAGGGTGGCACGAGGCTTGCCATGGCAGCAACGAGGGTGATAAATAAAATTAAAAATTGGAAGTTGGGGGCCCTGGGCTGGGTGGGAAGTCGGGGGGCCTTGGTGCGAAGTCAGGGGGCCAGGCCCCGAAAAGCACCACTACAGCTACAGGCCTGTTGTATCTGAAAGTAATAAAAATTCCATAAAGAAAAGAAAAGGTGTTTCAGTTTTCATCGCAAATCATTTCAGTTGCAACTGTAACTAACTGTAATTTGTATCAGAAGTTGATCACTGCAGCAAAAGAATATGTTAATAAGAGGACCTGTTCTGGACAAAGCATTTACAGTTGCTTAATTTTTTTTTCATTGACAGGTTTCTTCAATGGGGATTACACCTTTTTTTGTAGAAAATGTCAGTGAACTTCAGTTGTGTGCCATCAAGCTGGTCACTGCAGTAAGTGCACCCTTTTAACCAATGTTTAGAAATGCAGGACTGGTATTTGTGTAAAAAATTGGAAACCGTGAGTCAAAAAATACCAGTATAATTGCATTTTGACTGTACCAAAGAACATCATTTTTTTTTTAAATTCTCTTTGGAATATACTTATAAGAATTTTCCTTCAACAGCAAAATTTTAGTTAATAATGTTACTTATACAGTGAAATCATGAATAGGACAGCTTCTTAGTAGAACCATGTGTAACATTACTGCTAACATGACTAAAGTAATTCCCTTAAAGTAATTGTGATATAGCCTCTTCAATCAGAATGTTATATGTTCAGGTTGGAGTAAATGGCTTCCTGCTCATTGGTTGCTTGTTAACTCTCACATAAATGCCAAGCAACGAATACATTGCCATTACCAGGCAGCTAAAGTGATGATGCTTATTGAAATATGACTGTCTTCAAATACCCTCAGTTTGATTGTCTGAACTCCCAGGGAATGGCAATCCATATGCGGAAACAGGCTTCTGTGCGCTCCTTCAGCAGTCATAAGAACATAAGAGACGCCAATGTTGGATCAGGCCAAAGGCCCATCCAGTCCAACACTCTGTGTCACACAGTGGCCAGAAATACCAGGTGCCACCAGGAGGTCCACCAGTGGGGCCAGGACATTAGAAGCCCTCCCACTGTTGACCCCCCCAAGCACCAAGATGACAGAACATCACTTGCCCCAGAGTCCCTATCTATACCTTGTGGTTAATAGCCACAGTTTGCAAGACCCGAGAATGGCTGTTAACAATAAGGTGTTTTGGAGGTTATTAATTCATAGGGTCACCAAAAGAAGTGACTTGTCCACACTTAACACACACAATAAAAGTACTAGCTGATCATTGCTCTTGTTTTGCTTCCCTTTCCACCCCCCACCCCCCCGGTAGAACAACAGAACTACCTGGAATCTGTCTGCTTTGGCAAATAATTTAAAATTGTGTCCTCCTTTATGGTCAGAGCCAGAAGAGGTTGCTGGTAGTGGGTGGAATCATCAGCATCTCTGATCTCATCATGTGCCCCCACATCAGAGATAGAGAAAGAAGTCCAAGAGCCCATCCCTCCCATAGTCCATTTGTGTGGTATGAGGAAGTAGGAACAAATGTTAGTGTTACTGCACTTGTAGATTTGGGATTTAATTTGTCCTGAATCTGAGTTTCCAATCTGTTTTGTCAAACTTGACTATTTGGTCTGTGCAAAATAAATAAACATAAAAGATGAGACCGCTCTGGAGGGATAGTTGTTCTCTTGCAAAAAGCTAGTCAGTGTTCTAAAATATTTAACTAACTTTACTAACAGGTCTTCTCAAGATATGAAAAGCATAGGCAATTGATACTAGAAGAAATTTTCACATCGCTTGCAAGACTACCAACCAGCAAAAGAAGTCTGAGGAATTTCAGGTAATGTACAGCACAAACCATGCCTGTTTTAGGTTATGTTGTGTCTTACAGATATTTGGAAAATTTCAGAAGAAAACTATGCTGAATGTGCTGAAGTACCCCTTGTTGAAATCAGTAGGACTTAAGCATGTTAACTGTGCTGCATAGTACCTGTTTTGTTTTCAGATGGCTACACAAGATTAAGGCATGTGTAGAATTGTATCACTAGGATTTCAGGACAGCTGCCGTGGCCATGGGAAAAGTATGGCTACTGGGACGTTCCCAAAATATCCCCCAAAAATCTTAAATGGGAAAACCAGCATTATGTTCAGTACCCATCATAAATTCCTGCCTTTCTCTAAGCTATGAGATTGTTTTACCCATCAGAGGGATAATAGGCATTGTTGGAAGAGTAGGATTATGCATGAGAGTGTTTTGGCAGGAATTATGTTGTGATTCAGTGTAAAATTGCAACTTTTGTTGAATCAAGCCTCTGTTCCATATTTTGTATACAAGTCATTTTCTGGTTATAAGTGCAGTGAAAATTCTCTCTATTGTAAATAAGATATGAGGTGTGCTCACAGTTGAAGCCAATTGGCAAAAATTTTCAGTGTTATGTTTGCAATTGTGTTTACATTTGTGTATAGTAAATAGCTTGTTTTCTCAACAGATTGAACAGCAGTGATACTGATGGAGAGCCTATGTATATTCAGATGGTGACTGCACTGGTGCTACAACTTATTCAGTGTGTTGTACATCTACCATCAGGAGAGAAGGATTCAAACTCTGAAGAGGAATCAAATAAAAAGGTAAGATGTGCCTTAAGTGTTCAAAAGTATATATATTTAGTTTGTATGCTCTCTCACTGAAATTACAAATCTATCTTTGGTAAACCAATTCTTTGTTCATTTTTAGGTGGATCAAGATGTCCTGATTACAAACTCATATGAAACAGCCATGAGAACAGCACAAAACTTCCTTTCTATTTTTCTTAAGAAGTGAGTAGAACTCAATTGCTTGTGGGTTGTTGGTTTTGCCTTCTGAAACTGTAATCTGCCCATTACGGAATCAGGCATGGAACTCTAGAGATTGGCTCGAGCATTTTCAGACAGTTAGACATGGAAACCAGTCTACCAAAAGATCAAAGACTAGATGTCCGAAGAATTTTTAAATGCATTATTGTTAAAAGTTAAAACTTCAACAAGCTGTTTTTATGTTAAGAAATAGGGCATGGATATTCCATCTGTTTTCATTAAGACCTCTTGAACATAAGGACTTTTATGCCAGATCCAGCTGCATATTTGTCGTAGGATATTGTAGTCTGAAAGCAGACAACAGGGGCAGGGCTTGATGGTGACAAGTAGTAATCTATTTTTTTTTTTTTATTTATGGATTTATTTTTCTGGGCTTCAGTGCTGTGGTAGTAGTCTCAAAGGATTGGCCTGTTTTGCAGTAGCACAAGGGATTGCTGTTTCTCTTTGTTCATGCAAACATCACGATCCCATGTGCCAAAGCTGCTTCACGAATCAGAAGCTCTGATACTGATGAAGCTTTAGAAGATTGGGTAGCAGTAAGCGAAGAATGTAGATGTGGCCCTTTTTGGAAGGCTCAGTACAGCTGTTTAGCTGTTGCTTCTTCCATCTTTGTCTGTGTAAGTTTGTTACCAAATAGTGGTCTGCTGAAGCAGAAGCTGCTAACTGAGTAGATCAATGTGTGTAAAGCATCATAGATGATACTTCCAAGAATGTATTAGTTTAAGTCTGCAGGATGTCCAACTTGTAGCGCTGTGCTTGAATTATATGCGAAGAGGAAAGCCATACTAATTGGGATGGTGCCCATATCAAAAGCGTTTAGAAGGCTCCTGCGAAATCATAATTGGGCAATGATTTTAAAACCTCTCCGGTTCATCTCTTTTATCTTCCCCTGCATTAATCTGAAGACTGCCATAACGTTCTTGAAACCAGTAACTCATATTCTGTAATATTTTCTGCCTAGCTGAAAACTGGAATCATCAGTGTAGTTTCTAATCGCTTTCTCAGTGTAGTGTAGTAGTTTCTAATCACTTTCTCAGCCAATCTGTGGGAAGTTTTCTTCTGTCACAATCTCTAACTATGCAGAGGCCTGAGGCTGGAATCCTGTGTAGTCTTGCCAGAAAATAAGCTGAATTAAACATACTGGGATGAAATATGGCACATTTTTATACACAGCCTTTGAGAGAGAAATGGAAGTGTCCAGTTAGAAAACACATAGAATTCTGTATGTGGGAGGGGGGATTTTTACCGATCCCCACTCCTATGGGGAACTTCCAATCCTCCCTCCAGCTGTCTTGAGCAAATCCCTCTCAGGAGCAGAATGAGGGGGTGATTTGATGCAGGTGCACAAGAGAGAAACTAATAAAAATCACAATGTGTACCTATGGAAATGTAGGTGGGATCCAGCTCAATGTAAATTAACATATTTTGACATTTTAATTCTTCATTCTGTTTTTAAAACAGAAATAGTTTGGTTTATGTCTATAATAGTATACATTTTGCGATTTGGATTTTATGCCTTATTTCACTTCTTCATTGTGTTTTGTGCAGATGTGGTAGCAAGCAAGGTGAAGAGGATTATAGGCCATTGTTTGAGAACTTTGTTCAAGATCTTCTTTCCACGGTCAACAAACCAGAATGGCCAGCTGCAGAGCTGCTGCTTAGTTTATTGGGAAGATTATTGGTAAGACACCTGGATTTTTCAAAACAGTAATTCTGCCTCTCTTGACTTGACCATATTATTAGAGTAATGACAGTTCACAGACTCTTGCACAGTGTAATCTTTAGGCCAGTACAGGCATACATTAATAACGATGGCCTACTAGGGTTAATCCTGCCTTAGGGTTTCTTTATGGAAATACCATCCATTTCAGAGAGCCAGTTTGGTGTAGTGGTTAAGTGCGCGGACTCTAATCTGGGAGAACCAGGTTTGATTCCCCACTCCTCCACTTGCACCTGCTGATGTGACCTTGGGTCAGTCACAAGCTCTGGCACAGCTGTCCTTGAAAAAGAGCAGTTTGTGTCAGAGTTCTCTCAGCCCCACCCACCTCACAGGGTGTCTGTTGTGGGGAGGGGAAGGGAAAGGAGTTTGTAAGCCACTCTGAGACTCCAAGTGAAGGGCGGGGTATAAATCCAATCTCCTCCTCTCCTCCTCTTCAAGTATTGCTATTAAACAGATTTGTCACTTTTCTGTAAGCCTTATTTATTTATTTATTTATTTATTTATTATTTTATTACATTTGTACCCCGCCCTCCCCGCGAACGGGCTCTTTTCTTTTCATAGCAAGAAAAGAGGCTAACCCTTGTAAGTGATTACATATTTGCAGGCAAAATTTCAATCTGTGACCCATCTCCACCACACATTAAAAAGGTATATTTTGATTACATGACTTCCACTGTAGGAGAGGGAATATTTTCTTCTGCATGCTGCACACTTAGATCACCATCAGAGACCCTTTCTCCAGGTCAGTCTTGGAGGATAGGCAAGCAATGACCCAAGGCCTTCTCTACAAGTGGCATCAAGTCCTTGGAAATACTCCCCAAAGATGTTTGCTTGCTGCCTGTAGTTTTGGTATGTAGGCACCTGGCACAAACACTTAATCTTCTTTGTGGTCTCTGTGTAGTCGCACACTTGGGTTTGGTGCCTGTGCTCTAACCCGACCTCGGAAGGTTCTAGAGCTAGCCTCAGATGTTTGGCATGCTTTTCTCCCATGTTCTGGAGAGCAGGCATCGACTGCACATGCCTGGAGCTTGAGGAGAAAGCATCTTCCTGCTCAGTTCTTTCTCAACCACTGTGTCATCCATAGAGAGACATGACTTCTGCTTAATTTGTCTGGAGGAGGAACATTGAGTGGACACCTGTCTTCACTGCCCCAAGTTTACGAAACAAGCCAAAAAAACCAGGGTGGCTTGCTTTTGCATTCTCTTGCTTCAAGGCCTCTCTTTACCTATGTTTCTGGAGTTGCTCAGACTATCCATTGTTCAGGCTCCACAATTCAGTGGAGCGTTGACCGTATCATTGATCAACTGCTGCACCCTCAACATAGTGACTCGGTTTCGACTGCTCCCTCAGTACCAAAGTCTTCCTCTCATGGTATCCTGCTCTTCAAAGACTATGGCTACAGCCGTAACTCTGCATCACCATGCATGGCTCAACTCTATGTCTTTACAACCTAACATTAAAGCAAAGCTCAAGGATTTGCTGTTCGACAGGGAAGGGCTCTTCCATGTTTCTATAGACGAGATGCTGACAGCTGAAGATGACAGCAGGAAGTAAGCATGGAGCCTTGGGGTCACCCAACCAACACCATTTCAAGCCTAAGCATTAGAAACCAGTCTACTCAAAGCGTCAACGCTCCCCTCCAGCACATGACACCTGGAAGAAGAAACCTCTCCCTCCTAAACAAGCCTACCAAGCAAAGTCAAAAACACCTTGCACTAAGTGGCCTGCTCAACCATCAAACCGCTCAACCTCTTTGACTTTTGCCATCCCATCAGACTTTTTCTCCCACCTCTCACAACCGCACCTGTAGGCACCAAGCTGCACTCCTATCTTTTAACTTGGGAGGCGATCACCATGGACACCTGGGCCCTGACCATCATTGGGGGTGCACAATAGAGTTCAAGCCTCTTCCGCACACCCCACATTTTGTGGCCCCCCTCCATCCTGCTTCCTCCTGGACAGAGTATGCAGCTTCCTCACCAAGGGAGCCATTGAGGAAGTACCCCAGACCGCACAACATTAGGGGTTTTACTCCAGGTATTTTGTAGTCCCAAAGTGGGACGGAGCCAAGCAAGCTATAATGGACCTCAGAGAGCTGAAACGCTACATCAGATGACCCAAGTTCCATATGGTTACTCTATAGACTGTCCTTCCGGTGCTCCCTGAAGATGCCTGGTTAGCATCAGTAGATCTACAAGATGCTTATTTTCATGTGACTATCAGGCCTCAGCACCATTGATACCTTCACTTCTCAGTGGAACACCTTCACTGTCAGTACAGAGTGCTCCCTTTCGGGCTGTCAACCGCTCCCCGGGTCTTCACTCAAGTGTATGATTGTGGTGGTGGCAGCCCTGAGACAGCGGGGCATTGTGGTTTATCCATGTATTGACAACTGGCTCCTGATCTCCCAGTCTCCACAACATCTGGAGAAAGACATCCAGACTACTCTCAATCTCCTGGCAGAACTGGGTCTTTGTGTCAATCTCAGCAAGTCATCTCTCCAGCCCGAGCCAGTTCTCCAGTTCATTGGTGCCAGGCTCTGCACCATCGATCAGCGGGCCTGCCTTCCTGCAGACAGAGCCTCTGCTCTACAGAATATGACAGAGGGTTTTCTGATGAAGCCATCTCAGTCTCCATTGACCTTTGTGTTGCATTATGCTCTGGATGTCAGGGTGCTCACCAAGACGCCTCGTTCAGCCACTGTCCTTTCTTTTGATCGGTAATTTGCAAGTAGGCCTGTAACAGGTAACGGGTTTTCATTATTATCTCTTGATGGGCTGGCTGCCAGCACCCTCCATCCTGTTCTCTGCTTAGCTCACTAGTCACCCAAGTGTGGGACTGCACAGAGACCACGAAGAAGATAAACAGGTTGCTTACCTGTAATTGATGATCTTTGAGTGGTTAGCTGTGCAGTCACACACGCCCGCCCAGCCTTCCCCACTCTTGTTCGCTTACCTTATGTTAACAGGACTTACCGGTGGCGGTCCAAAGGACCTGAGTGGGAGGGCGCTTTCTTCTCATCTCCAGGCAAGTGCAGTCGATGCCTGCTCCCCAGAGCGCCGGAGAAAAGGGCACCAAATGTCTTGAGGCTAGCTCTAGAACTTTCCAAGGTCAGGTTCGAGCGCAGGCACCAAACTCAAGTGTGTGTCTGCACAGATGACCACTTGAAGATCATCAGTTACAGGTAAGGAAACTGTTTTTTCCCTTATGTCTTTAGTTTGTAGCCTGCCTTAAAACCTGACTTCGCTGTAGTTTGCTGTGAGTACTGCTTTTGTATTGTTGGATTAATTTGTTTCATTTTGTTTCTTAGTAATATAGTAAACATAGTCCATCAGACTACAATGGAGCTAATAATTGCCTTAGAACCTGTACCTTGCTTGTATTGAGCCCTTTTTCCATTGGGGGGCATTCCTCTGCTGCCATAGGTACGTCCGCTCATGTGAGACCAATGTCTTTAAAAGAACTGAAAAGAACCTAGCATTAGAGGAATGCACTCTACACCAGGCAAAGAGCAGTGTAAATGGAACTAAGGCTGTAAGATCCAAACTACTGCCTTAACTTCAAAGATAGTGTTTACTGGCAAATAATTTGTAAGCCACATCCCTAATATCCACATATCTAATAGGTTATGAACAGTCTGCATTGTCACAATCTGCATTCAGATGTTAAATATAACTGCAATTAAGAGAAAATGGGCACTAACAAAACTTGTTGTCAGGCATGTGTGCGTGGCTTCTCTCCCCCCCCCCCCCCCCAGTTCTCACCCAGAGAATTGCAGTAAAGCACCACTGTCAGTTACCTGTAATATACATGGCATTTACAATCATAACAAATAAACGTTTTTAAGTATTTTAAATAATCAGATTTCTAAATTACGAATTCCTGAACTCATATTTCAACCAGAAAAGATGCAGTCATTAGCACAACATAGTTTTATTAGGTTCCAAAAAGATGACATGCTGAATACCAAAATGTGTTTTATATATCTATTTTATACTAACTCAAAGTATTATTGCTTGCCTTAAGTTTTTGGTTTAAATGGGCTAGAATTTAAACAAAGGTATGAAATGAATAACAGGGTTGCCACTTTCTGGAAAGTCATGGAAATGAAAATTGGTCAGGGAAAGTCATGGAAATTGGTCTGAAGTCAGGGAAATTGTGATTAAAATATATTCAAGCAGTGGATTTTTTTTTTTTTGGTAAACAATTTTTTTATTTTCTCAGGAATACAACATATAAAACATTTCATTCTATCAATTGTCTACCCCATTCCCAGTTCCTCCCCTCCCTCCAATGGCTTCCCACAATGCTTCCACCCCTGCTCCAAATTACTTCATATCATCAACAATATCAGTTTTTCATCATTACAATCTAAAGATAACATCGTTTGACTTAATATTGATCTAAACATATTAAGTTTTGTTTCACATCCCAGTTCTTTTCCAGATAAATTTTAAAATCATTCCATTCTCCAAAAAACTCATCGTCTTCTTTGTTATTCAGTTTTTTTGTAATCTTATCCATTTGTGCCATGAACAGAACTTTTTGTATCCATTCTTCAACCTCTGGTACCTTTTCCGTCTTCCAAAACTGAGCATAAATCATTCTCGCTGTCACTATCAGGTACCAGAGTAAAGTCTTTTTAGTCGTATTGACTTCTTCCATTTTAAGTCCCAAAAGCAGAATTTCCGGTGCTTTTTTAAAAGAACATTTCAATATTTTTTGCATTTCATTGTGGACTTTTGTCCAAAAGTCTACAGCTTTCTCACAAGTCCACCACATATGATAAAATGAGCCCTCATGCCTCTTACATTTCCAACATTTGTTTGACATATTTTGATTCATATTTGCAATCTTCTTAGGTGTCATGTACCACCTATACATCATCTTATAACAATTTTCTTTAACATTAGTACATGTCGAGATCTTAATAGAGTTTTTCCACAAATATTCCCAAGTTT